GGGGGGTTCACATATATATATGTATACATTAGTACTACATTTAATGTTCATATGTATTTTAATTCTAAAATTGTACAAGAAAATGAAATGTAATGACATCTATGGAATGTATCTTATTCATCTTGATGCCCACGCTGAAAGGAATAGAGAAAAAGACTTTTACTTTTACCTTTGCTTTTGCATTAAAAGTGTCGTAGTTGTAGTGGCCGCCCATGGAGAACACATCTTCCATGCTGTACCAAAACTCGGAGAACCCGTAAAACTCCATAGCGGGATCTATCACCGGCTGGTACACCCCATTGACGGAGCAGGGGGCTTTACTACAGGGGACAGTCTTGTTGATCAGCGGTTCTACCGCGGCCTTGCATTGCGTGAAGTCCCCACCACCAGAGAACACGTGGCCGACACCTGCATCGTCTGTGGTTTTGAGTGTCATGCCCAATGGGAGGCACACATCAGTGATAGGCTGGCTCTCCGTGCCTGCACTGGAAAAGAAGCAACGCAACAATGTAAGTTGTGAGATGTTGGTGTTGTGTTGCTCTCTTAACTCTTTAAGCCCTGAGTTTTTTCTACCGTCTTCCGGAATTTTTTTTACAGTCACCTAAACCTAGTGTACTATGTTTCATTATAACCCCAAAAGCTTGCCTCCAACATCTAAAAAAGGGGAAACAACAGCTTAGTCATTACTAGAGAAACTTGGTTTGGGAATAGTTCCAAAATACAAGCAAAAACAAGTACTAAATAAAATGAAACAGTTGTCACTGGTACTGGATGCTCCCAGCGTCCGATGGGGAACAGGGTTTTTACCGCCGGACGCTCCAAGAGTCCGAAGGGGTTCAAAGAGTTAAGCATTACATCATTACTTTGACAATAGCAAAATGTCACCAAGAACATGGTAGCTTTAATTAAATAGACCCTACCACTGTGCCCATTCCATATATTTTGGTACAGATAATAAGGACAACAAAACAAGTCTTGGTAATATAATGCTCAGACAAAGTGAATAATCAGATACAAAAACAGCTAGTCACCCGAAGAACAACAGCTCTTAGCTGTGCACTTCATGTGTCCATGATTCCAGCTGAGCTTCTTTTATATTCTTTAGCCATCTTTAAATAATTGCTCATTTCAGTGACAAAATAATGGTCATTTTGTGCTGGGAAAAAGCAAGACAGACATACAGACAGCAACAAATGAGAAATAGTAAATATGTAAGACCTACCAGTGGTGCCATCCAGCCTCCTGCTTTTTACAATCACAAGCAAAGAGAGTGTCAATATGGAGAGCTCTGCTGTAAAGCTCCATAAAACACAGAATGGTAAGCTAAAAAGCAGGATGTCAGACTCAAAGTCTGTCTCTGACCAGACCGAGTCAAGTGGGAGGAGAGGTAAGACAACCACTCAAACAACCCAGGCCCAAGAAACTTGTATCAGCGACTGGAATCAGGTTTACCTGCATCACCTTTTAGCATCATAATCATCACTGTCTTTCTTACGCTGCATCAGGGTAGAGGCCAAGAACACTTTCCACCTTTCCCTATCCTGTGCCAGCCTCTCGATATTATTCCGAGTCTTCCCACTTTTCTGTACATCATTCTTTGTAACTTTCCTCCAGGAGTCTTTCCCTTGATCTTAAACCTTGCAGATTCTTTCCAGCATGAAAGTCACGATATCAAGAAACAAACTTTTTCTTCTTCTTTTCTTCCTTGTTCTTAACAGAGACAAACATGAAGTAGCACCTTGACGGGTAAACACATTGTATCATTAAACAAGATGAATGGATCAACGCATGCCACTTGGCTTCCTACCTGTGTCCATCTGCTACAGACTTCTCCACCAACATGGACTTGTATCGGTCAAGTGCAGAATTAGCTCCAAAGCCCAAAAACGTTGTGACGTACACTTTGTACGCGTGCTCTTCATCAGAATCTTGACATCCTAAGTTGAACTTTGACAGCGAAAAGGGTGGGATCCCTTCAGAAGCCTCCTGAGAATATGAATAAGTAGGTGCAAGATCACATGACACAAAGAATTTTTACAATAGAAAGAAGGACAAAGTGGATATTTTGATAACACACAGCACAATTTAACATTTTAATAAAACTGCTTTGAGCAGAAATGAGTCATGACAAATAAATATACAGCATTGTTAGTTATGGAATACCAATGGAAAAAAATGTGACTGATCACCATTTAAGAACATTCACATGCTGGTACAATGGCCATATTGTGCTTTACAGCTGTAACACAAATAACAATAGTGGCAGACAAAGAGATGGAATCAAAATAAAATTTACAAAGTCTCACCCCAGAAACTTCATAAGCTATCTGGACAGATCCACCACCCATGTCCATCATCCCAACAGTTTTCCTTTTTCTGTGCTCACTTGAATCTGTCAAAATAAAAAGGTGACGCAAAATTATGGAGGAGCTAAAGAAAAAAATTATAATTTTGTAATAAAAGCAGCAATCTAAACAAGGTTCGTATGGAAAGACAATTCAATAATGCAGTATCACCTGTTCAGCTTCTTGCCCTTAAGACAGAAAAGCAAAAAAAAAAAGCCCCCCCCCCCCCCCGGACTGTTTTAACGTACGGATTGATCACATTTCTCAGGGTGACTGCAAATCAGGCTTCTCAATTTTCCGGGGGAGGGGGGGGGGGGCAAACCCTTTAGTTAAAAAAACACGGCTTACAAGGCATGAGCATTGAGCATGACGGATCCTGATTCCCCACAAGGCCTGCACCAATGCCTGCTTTGCAGAGAGCTCAAGTAGTAACCAAAATTCTAAAAACTGAAATTTGCTTCCAAGTTCAGTTTTTGTCATCCGGTGTTGCCTTCAACCCCATCTTTCCTCCCCCAAGTGTATCTTTTAAAAAAATCAATTATCCCCTTATTCCGGAGTCCTATATTTCACAGCGCTCAGACTTTGAATGAACTTTGGTGACCCCAACCATTGCTGGCACTCACAAAGTGATGGGAACACGCAGATTCACTGACCAGTCACGATGGCGAGCCCGACAAGACGCTTGTATAACTTTCCATTTTTTCACAGGCGACAGCACTGGACAAATATTGATTTAATTTCTAGGCGACACAACGTTTGGAACGCAAAACCTGCAGGTTAAAAATGTTGTGTTTTCAGGCTATTACTGGCAAATTTCTGGGTGGTAACGAAAGCGAAAGTAGATCTTGATTTTCCCGATCGAGCTTCAGTATCACACATACACTTCCGCTTGCCACCATAGCCGCCTGTTCACGTAAAGCGCACTCTCAGACCTGGAAAAGCCGATATCACTATCGCGACCGGCAAAAATGAACCCATGGATGTTATCGAATTTGGTTTTCAAATCTTCGAGCACTTTTATGTATTTTCCCGGTCTTTCACGGGGCAATTTAAATTTCCTCAAATTCCCGGGGTATTCCCGGGTCTCGCCGATTTTTTAAAAATTTCCCGGGGAACTCCCGGGGCCCGGCAGTCACCCTGATTTTTTCTAAGGAAATATTTTGAGAAAGGCTTTCACGTGTGTCATCAATTTTTTAAAGGGAACCAAAAAATGTCAACAGGACACTAAAAAGGGAGGAATACCATTAGTAAACAGACAACTTACCATGTGATACAGTATGTGAAAATCTGTTTAAGGCATAGTTGATGGCAATCCACGCAAAGACCCCTTCCTGCTTGCCACTGATCACTTCAAAATGATTTTCAAGGGCGATAAAATTGAAATCTTTCTTGATATCGGTTCTGAGATCCGTTAAGATAGCATTTTGTTTCCTGAAAGATAAAAAAAAAAGTAACACAAACAATAATCAATTAAAAGTCTCTTATTCATCAGAGTGCATTTTGTATCTTTGATAAAGAGCATATAATTAAGCGATTCAGACTGCAGCGTTGCTCACAGTGGCTGACTGTCTCCTGCGTTTTGACGCAGAGCAACTTAGAGCGGCTCTTATCTATTGCTCCCTTTCTTCACATCATTTTCCCCTCTTCTTTTCTCCTTACTACTTACATTTCAACCCTTTTTTTCTTGTGTAATTGAATAGTATTTTTTATTCTGAACATTTCTATACGCCACAAAAAGGGTTTTATCAAATTTAGATACTTATTATCTTATCTTTTTGTGAGCCCACCCGTGAGGTCACAAAGCGGTCATAAATTATTCGTGTTCCGAATCAAAATTACCTGCGGGCTGAATCCGTTAATATGAAATTTATCTTTGCAAATTTGATAAAATAGCCACTGATAAAGGTTGAAATCATTTATAGTTTACTGTTGTTCTATCGATTTGAATTAAGTTACAATTAGTTTTTTAATATTGAGCAAAGAAAAAAAGAAGGAAAAGAAAACAACTATGCTAGGACCCTTGTGCAAGAAACGATACAGAATACAAACATTCACATGATATAAATGTCAGGCAGTAAAAGCATCCTAGGAATCTTCTTGAAAAATATGTTTCCCAACATCACACAGCAGCACAAGGGCAAACTTACTTTTCTGGAAGCATTCTCATCCCTGCTGTTGCCATGACATACAAAAATGTCTCCGAGTACTTCTTCGATGGGATATACTGCTGGGCAAACAACAGTAAGTCTTTAATATGGTCACTTGCAGCATCTGGATTATCCTCAAAAGAGGACAAGCCTGAAAAAAGAAGAGAGAATTAGACATTTTGGTTCTTAATTTTCTTACGACAATGAAGTTGTATTTTAATACCAAAAAACATGCCTTAATGCTTTCAGTTTATTCAAACACTTAAGGACAAATAAAAGTGTATCATGTTCCCAACTGGAATTAGTTCCATGAAAAATAACTCTACGACTATCAGATAACAAAGGAGAAAAGAAAACAATAACTCACAGTTCAGATGCCTTGGCACATCCTCACCCTCCTCCTTCCCCTCTATGAAAATATTTTTTAAAGTTAGTTTTTTTTCCAAAAACAGGAATTTAGAAAACTTTTGTTTCGTTTGTTTGAGTAAAGAGAAGCACATCAACACGCCCATAAAAAGTTGTAACAATGCAAAGAACAAGTAAGCTAGTTCAAAGTAGCAAGCCTTTTTACTTTAAGCTTTAATGATATTAAAAGGCAATCACCTGGAGAAACTTTCTTTTCAACTAATTTTCCACTGGAATCATGAAGCTGTTGGATGCTGAGTAAATCACTTGGATTTCCTGAATGTTGGGGCCAAAAGTAGACGTAGACTCTACTGCCACTGCTGCCACAGTCAATCACAATGGCATACTGCAACCCTTCTTTTTCTTCTATATTTCTTGCTCCAGATAATTTGAACATTCCTGTGATGGGCAGCAGAAACAGCAGTCCAATAACGAGAGCAGCTATGACGAATACAATACGCCAAAAGGTGTAGATACTGCTGCCTTGTGGCGAAATGCCTGGGCAATTGAGGTAAATTCTGTAATCAAAGAAAAGGACATAAAATGTCAAATTTCAATTTATATTATATTTTGACTGACATGGCATCCAATATCAATTCTTCTAATATTCTTTAGGATGTGGAACCCTTTCCTTGCTTTTTAAAGTTCAACCTGGAACCGTGCAATACAGACAGGACACCTGACTAGATTCTTCTACATTAACCTAAAAGCCTGAGACTTTCTGTTTCATATATTATAAAGAACTTAGTCAGTCATGTTTGTAAGTTCATTCAACTGGATCATCCACAATCATTTTAATTTAACCTTCAGGCAGAATATGTTTGGTCTTTATAAATTGTTTAAACTTCATTCCCCAGCGATGTTCACAGTAATCAAAATCAAATCTAACACTGTCAACTAAAATATGTATCATGTGTTAAAGCTAGGGTTAGGGTTTGAGGTAGGGTTAGGGTTAAGGTTTTTAAAAAAGTTAAGGGTAGAAGGCTAAGTTAGGGTTAGGGTTAGAAGGTCTCCTTTATTTTCAATGTGTTTGTTAGGTTGGTCCCTCATTACCGAAGTCCTTCTAAAGTTACTACATAATTATGGTAGGAGTAATATAGCCTAGTAGTTTGAATTTGCGACGAATTTAAAGTCATTCTTGAAAAAAAAAATGGTATGATACAGATTTAGATTAGATAAATATCTTCTAGGTTTAACGTACGTTAATTACTATTAGCAATTTTAGTATAGAGGTTCTTTAACCCTATCCGAACGTCCTGTGGTCATTTTGTACCCCCCCCCCCCTCGGTTGTATTCTTCACATTTTAGAATACTTCTTGTGCGAAGATCTCTTTGTGCGACTTTCAGTATTCGAAGTGATTATTCGGACGCGAGTCCGAATATGAAAAAATGTTATTCGGACTCTGATTCTTGTCCAGCATGACATCACTTCCGACTTCCTGTGACTCGTGAATCCGGCTTCCTGTCCTGCCTCACTCGTGACTCGCCTCAGGCTGGGTAGAGACCGGGATCACTTCGGGCAAAAAGGCGTTTTGTGCAGGAGCCGAGTTTTAATCTTATGATGAATTTGAGGCCGGCCTGAAAAGTTATAGCGCTTCTAATACATGTTTATTTGTCAAGAGGTCATCAGAAGCAATTAAAGATGGCTCGTTAGCGTGTGTCGGGGTCGGATGGGCGGCCTCCACACGTGTGGCTGTGTGCGTGTCGGGGAGGGTGGTGGGGGGGCACTATCGGTCCGGGCTTTGAACGTCGCATATGCGTCAGTCTTTTCCCCCCCGGCAACTGATCATTATTACAATAATAAGCTAGTCTTGACGTAGATCTACGTAATGAATTGTGCGCTGGTCTTAGGAATCAAAAGTTGCCGTATGCTCAGCTCTACACAGCAACACAACTTTTTCTTGGTAAACAATCGATATGACACAGGCTTGTGTATTTGAACGAATCAGTCTTCTTTTTTTTTACACAGCTCATAATATGCAGGTGCTAGGTGGTCTGCTAATCTTCAATTGTACCTTTTTCTACAACAAAGAAAGTGGGAAACGTGGGGGGGCGCGTATCAATGAGGCGGCGGGCATTGGATCGGCAGATAAGGTGTGGGGTAAACTAAAAAATGGCGGAAAATTGGAAGCACTGAACGTTAGATCTATAGAACGAAGACACTTCCTTTTTTCCGGACCCGAGTCCGAATAACATTTTTTCATATTCGGACTCGAGTCCGAATAACGACAGCCTTCAGTATTTCTCAAAAAATCATTTTGACAGACTGCTACTGCTATGCAAAGCGTGCATATTCGATTAACGAGTAAATTTCATCTTTAAAATAGAAAGTGGTGGCACAGAGTTCCCCTCGTCGTATGGATACGATAGTAAAACACTGCGTACGGATAGGTTAAGAGACTGGACCTCTGAGCTTTAACGGCCATCTCCGAAAGCACGAGCCCAGTGTCAAATTCCTGTGTAAAGTGCCTTTCCTAAGGACACAACATTAGACCGAGCTGAGACTTGAGCCTCCAAACCCGTAATATCCCGAATATGAGTCCGGTCTAACCACTAGATTAGATTCTAGGGCGATTGTTAAGGATGCCGCGTTTAATTCTGATGTGTGTTTTTCATAGCCTCAGGCATGTTTTGCTTTGGTCCCTACCCCTAACCCTGGAAAATGTACATCGGAATAAAACGCGGGAATCTTAACAATCTCCTATTCTAGACCAAAGTCATTCGTGTAAAAAGTAAAAACGGAGAGTCTACGTACACGGTCATGTAGTCTCAGGGTCACGTACACGGTAACCGGGCAAGTAGCCTCCTAAATATCTACGTACACGGTAACCTGGCACCTCTAGCCTCAGTTTCTACGTACACGATAACTGAGCATGTAGTCTCAGTGTCACGTACACGGTAACCGGACATGCAAGTAATCTCAGGGTCACGTACACTAAGGCCGCGGTAAGCCTTAGACTAAGGCAGGCTAAGGCATAATAAGACATAAGAAGGCTAAACTTAAAGTTAAGTGTACTGTAAGGCTTCTCTAGACTTTTGATCTAGATTTATAGATCTAAGTCTAGTCTCTAGAATCTAGATCGAGATTCTAGGATCTCGACTCTAGATCTAGATCTAGATTAGATCTACAAAATCAAGATATCTAGATCTAGATTAGGCTAGTCTAGATCTAGAATCTAGATTATATAGATCTAGATGTAGATCTAGATCTATCTAGATCTAGATCTATATAGATATCTAGATCTAGATATCTAGATCTAGATCTAGATCTAGATCTAGAATAGATTTTATTAGAGAATTATTTTGTAGATTCTACAGTTTCTACCGACTCACCGAGCCATTTTTAGACTTTCCATACAATTCAATAAATTTCTTCAGAATTAGTTTCACTTTCAAATGAATTCATCGGATGAGGCCCATGTTTGTGACTAAAAAATCTCAGGCATTTCTAAAGAGGGTGGCAGCCTGACACACCCTTGACTGTGCGGGGTCGGCAGTAGACGTGTACGTTTCCTTCGCAGCTGACAATGATCCCAGTAACCCAGTCGAACAACACATCACAAACGGAAAAGGAAAGTTGTTTTACGACATGTTCCTCTTTGCAGCTACCGCAAACAAAATCCGTTGGGAGGTCTTATTGAATTTTACTTGAACAAGGGCAAAGGTTAGTCTCTATGAACTTTGACCGTGCGTTGAAAGTCGAAATTGTCTGATGTTATTGCCCGGCAGCCCGGTAGCCAAGATCAGTCAACTATCAAGCAGTTGTGTTACAGTTTCTGTGCATTCACGGCAATTTTCTTTCGCTTCATTTCTTTATATCACGATTGATTGACGAGGCAGTTGATGGTATTGGTATCAGATAAAACAACTTAGCCTAGATTATATGTTTTCTTTTTAGACTTCGTTCAAAGTCTAAATAGATTCTATTAATTTCCTTTTATTAGCCTACTTTCATCTCTCATGTAATCACTTGATTCGTTGTTGTAAAAGTGGCAACACGACAGGCATGAGAATCTTCTTTCCACATTACAGTACGCTGTAGTGTAGTAGTAGGGCCAACCATTTGAGCCATTTCAGATCAGACCAGGTATAATAAGTCAGACTTATTGTGAGTGTGCCCTTAGCTTATAGTAGACTCAGGATGATCTTAATTATTTTAAGTAGATCTAATTATCTGTCAGTGTTGCTGTAGTAGTGTAGTGTAACTAGGCGAATCACGCGCTGAGCGAAAAAATAACAATTATTGAAAGATAGAAGAACAGGAGCCTATAAAAAGCTACATTATATCCTCAGTCTCCGTCAAAAATACAATAGCAACTTTTAGTGAATCACTGACAATCATGGGTGTGGATTCTGATTTCATGGACAATCTCGTGAAGTTTAATTCATCTGCAAGTGGGCGTGATAAACTTTTCAGGTAAACTCTTCTTCTTGTGCTCTTTGTTACCTTTCTTTGACTTTGACAACTTGTACCAGTGAATATATGAAGAGAGATCAACAGAGTGGTATCTGTAAAGTAGGTCACTACGTAGTACAGCAGTCTCCGCCTAAACACACGCCATACTAAAAAACGCTTTGCTCAAACGCATGCTTTGGTCTGTCAGCATATAATAGGTTTTTTGAGAGTGCTATATAATTTAGATGTACAAATGCACGTTCACTTCTAAACGCATCATGCTTCAATACGTGAAACACGCCGACAGGTAAAGCTTGACAAGGAGAAATTTTCACAACAACCTATACAGCTCTTGCATAAGACAGGTCTATACCGGATATTTGGCGAGACTGCCCCTCACGCAGAACAAAGAGAATATAATGGACAGAGTTAGTTTTCACACCCAACTTTCCACAGACCCAAATCTTGGACTGGTCGGGTGATGTTGGAAGGGGGGGGGGGAGACGACAACTGAAATGCCTTTTGATTAGTCACTCGAAATGGGTCTTTCAGAGAATGTTTTTATGACTATGTGTTTCTGTGACTGATATGTTTACTTATTAGGCTTATGATGCGCAACATGCGTGAATGCTGTAGTAGAACACTAGAGAGGCTTGTTGATGATTGAAGTTTTTGTCAAGTAATCAGCTGCTTTCGAAGACCGTATCGTTCTACGAATTACAAGAGAAAAGTCTCTCAGAATGTCTGATTTTGATGTCATCCATGTATAGAGCATTGCATAAGTGGATATGCGCTATATAAATGCAATCCATTATTATTATACATATGTATAGTTGAAATAGATGAAAGGCAGTCGGGAGTGGCCATGGAAGTTGGAAAGCCGTGTGGCTGAGCACTTTTCCCTCTAGCACTATCACCACCAGTGTCCATTTATCTGTTCCCGACATTTTATAAGTGCATTATATGTAGTACAGTTAGTCCGTCTTTCTGCTCCCCCACCCATTCAACGCCTTTGTATTTCTTTCCTTTATAATTCATAACCGCAGTCGGGGAATCCATATAAAAACAGTCACGTGTTGCCACTTAATCAACCAAAGTGACCCGCTCCCCGAAGGGAGGTCAGTAAAATACCCACTAAATTAAAAGTAGGAGAGTCTGCGATCTGCGAATGTGGACACGGCCAAGAGGATGTCAACCTTATCCTTCAGCGCTGCCTGCGCTACACCACCTTTCGTACACAGGCGTGGCAGAATGTGACTCCTCTTGAGAGAAAGCTCTATGGCAGTCTCTCAGATTTGAAGTGGACTGCACAGTTTGTGCGCGACCTTGGACTGACTGTCTAGCTGCTGTCATCAAGAATGAGGAAGAAACTAAAATATCAAGGAAATGAGATGAGTGCATCCTTTCCTCCCTTTGCGCAGGTCATGGCAACGCACACTCCGTAACACCCGCTAAGGAGCCTTCCTGAGCACTCTGTGCGTTTAAGCGGAGACTTTTGTACAGACTACATGCTAAATTTTTAGTTTTAGATTAGGAAAGAATTCCGTAATTGACCACTTTGAAATAAAGTGTTAGGGTCAGGGTTAACACTGAAGGCTAGGGTTGGTTTGGGTTAGGATCTAGATCTCTTCTTTATTGTGTTTGTTAGGGGTGGCTGATGGTTGCTCATTACGGAAGTCCTTCCTCACTTACATGTTGAACTTGCTGTCCATAGTGGTCACCTGTACCAACCAGCCGCTGTACCATGAAACCCTTGCGTTTTTCTTATATTTTTCACCTATCCATGGTGTTCATTATCATAGTGGCTCCTGTCCAATATGACCTTGAGACAATTAGGTCTCAAAACCTGCTCCTAGTCGTAGCAGTCGCTTGATACAATAAGTTTTCTGCCTATTCATCCTCAGGCTTAGCGTGTAGCTTATTCAATCAATCAATGCACAAAGGCGTTAGATTTAGCAGTCGGTTGCCTAATTAGACCAGGTTTGTAAAAATACTACAATCTCTCAAAGGAAAAGATTTCTTTGTGCAAAAAAAATATTAGCCTTCACCTAAACGCACAGTGGCACAGTGCTCGGGAGGGCTCCTTGGCCTGTGCTTACATGAACCTGTACAAAGGGAGGAAGGGACGCAACCATATCATTTCCTTGATATTTTAGTGAGGGTCATTTTGGCTGATAATGTGATGAAACGTGTCTGTTTTGTGAAGGATTCCCCGACTGTGTTTATGAATTATGAATACAAAGGCGTTGAATGAAGGAGGGGAAAAGCAGAAAGACGGACTCAGTGTATTGAATATATACGCTAATTAATGTCAGGAACTGACAAGAGGAAACTACTATTGGTAATAGTCATAGAAGTAAAAGCGCTCAGCCATGTGGCTTTCCAAGTGAACACTCCCGACTGCCTGTCATCTATTGCAGCTGGGTAAATGCATTGATGGCTGCAGAGTCAGACACTCCGAGAGACTTTTCTCTTGTGATTCGTTGAACAAGAACATTGTTCTTCAAGTGCAACTGATTGCTTCTCAAATCTCTAAAATCCTACAGAGGCCTATCTAGTGTTCTACAGCATTCTCATACATGTTGCACATCACATTACGTATGCTGTCACTCAAACACCAGTCAGAAACCTTCTCTCAAAGATGCATTTCGAATGACATATCAAAAGATATTTCAGTCTCCCCCCTCAACATTCACTTGACCTGTCCTAGACCTATTGTCTGAGGAAAGTTAGGTGTGAAAACGCTCTCCATCACTCTCTTTGTTCTGTGTGAAGGGGAATTCTCACCAAATATCTGGTTGTCCGGTCTTGTCTTAGGCAAGCTGTGTAGGCTGTAGCGCACATTTCCCCATGTCAAGCTTTACCTGTTGGTGTGTTTCGCGGATCCAAGCGTGCGTGAAGAAGTGACCGTGCGTTTGTACACATCTGAATTGTAAAATAGCAAAAATCCTGTCAAATGACGAAAGTGTGCATTTGAGCAGAGGGTGCTTTTGTATGGCATCTGTTTATACAGAGACTACTGTAGCTGAATGTGAATCTGCAATAAGTTTTAAGTTTGATAAAATGCATTTATTAGAAGCTGTATGCTGAATACAAACTCTGACAAAAAGCGTTCGTCATCATATGGTCCTCATGCTTCGCAAGGCATGACGAATGCCGTATGTCATAGCGACAATTTGTTTCCTTTACCATGATGAACTGCCCTGGACATATTATTAGTCATAAAGGTGTTAAGTTGACACTACTGTACCTGTAATGGTATCATGTCAAATGAATAAAATGGCAAAGATGTGGGCAGTGTTTGGTGAATTTTTATATTTGATGAATATTTTGTTTCTCTCCTGGAGATATCAGGTCGAGATTTAACATTATCAAAGATTTATACTTGTAATGGTAATTTTACAAACTAATTGATGCTGTTTCCTCAGGCTAGTTCAGTACTGCACCAAGTTCAGCTGGTGGTATCTAGAGAAGGCTGGAGTGCATGCCGAAGCGATTGCTCGTCTGCAGAAGCTAAGCAGTTCTCTAAGCACAACAAGAAAATGTGAGTTTTGTTGTATGCTCTCATTTTTAAAGTGCTGAGTATTTTAAAAAAGAAGGACCCACTTAATTTACAGGACAACAACGCAGTCATCGTTAGACTATTTCAACAAAACTTTGAACTACTGAAGTTCAATTTTGGGGACGTCGCATTTGTCAATCTGAAGAAAAATCAACATGTTAAAAAACGTTAATTTTTAAAATTAATCCAGATTTGAGTGAAATGGAAAACTGTGCAACTTCTTAAAAACCAAATAATTATTTGTGTGTATTTGTGCATTGAAGAAAAAATTAGATAAATAAAATTGTCATCGAAATAAATTGGTTATAATTTAAATTGTATTTTCCAGGTGTGTACCATTTCTCTCTTGACAAGCTCGAATAGGATGCCATTTGAAATTTTGAATAACTCAGTGGCATATTTCTGAGCAAATTCTTTAGAGATTTTGTTCACATAAAGTTTCAACTGTTAGATTGTTTGTGGGTTGTTTCTGTTAATTCTCGGTCTGTCAAAAAAAAAACCCCAAAGAAAATAATTGAGGGGGTTCAAGTTGAGAGAATGTGGTGACCATTAAAAATTTATTTGTAAGCTTTCAGCTTATAAATAAAGTATTTCCCAAACCTTACTTGCAACGATACAAGGCCCACTCTTGACATATGGGATGTGGCCCCATATCCTATGGAACGAGGCCTCCTCAACAGCAACCTTCTCCTCCCCTGATTTTTTATTCACAACTTTCCCGGCATCAGAATGGGCAGATCATGGCTCTGTAGCTGAATGTTTTTAAGAAGTAAGGTTTTGAGTTTTGTACCCAGCTTTTTTGGAATTTTTAAAACTTGATGTCTGTCGAACATGTCAACTGATTTCCTTCATATCATGTTTAGAAATTTTATGTCCCCTTGGTTGGATTTTGTCTGTCCAGAGTTTTGTTGTAATTAATACAAATATGGCTGAGTTATTGCCCTTGGGTTCTTTTTTTTTGTTAGACACAGTGTACAAGTAGTTTTTTTCATTGAGAACAATATTTTGTTCCAAGTTAACATGATGACTGATTGAAAGGGGATTCAGCAATCCTTGTCCTGTATATGATCTTTATGTGTGAAAAGACAAGCCGACATATTTTCCTCTTCAGAACAGAGAAATAACATTCTGATTTCTAAAGACAAGTTCTGTGAAATCTTTAAAATTGACTTGTTAAAGATATGACAACATTTTCACCACAATGCAATATCCTTAGATGAATTTGGCCCTCATTGAGAGGTCAGTGTTATAGTTAAATATGAAACAAACGAAGCATCAAATAATGTAGAATGACTTTTTTGTATATATATATATATATATATATATATATATATATATATATATATATATATATATGGTCAGTGTCATTCCACAAATGCCAAAGTCATTTATATTGTAAGTTTTGAGAAAATGAAATTAAGAAAAAAAAATCGCTTAAATTTCAGAACCGTGACTTGGGCACTTGTTATTATTGATTAAAAACTAAGAAGTCAATAATGAAAAAACAAAGCTGTACTGTAATGTAAATGTAAAATACACCCCTTAATGTCTCAATTCAAATAATGGCTTTGTCTTAGAAATCACCAGAGACTGATTTGGGCTATTGTGGAATGACGCTTATGAAAATAATTTCTCAGTGAACTGACTTCTTGTTTATTTTGTTTTTCAGTTCTTCGACTCGGCAAGAGTGTGGACTTTATGCATGGGGCTCTTCGCAGCATCCACCTGACTGACTCTGTGTTACGCTACACAATAACTTTGTCAAAGCTGAATCAGGCTGTTTATTTGTTGTTTGACCATATAATATGGGCAGGTCGTGTTGGGCTGGCTATGATAGACAAAGACAAGTGGAGCAAACTGTCGGCTCAGTTCTGGATTGTGACTCTGATACTGAACCTCGTCCGAGATATTTATGAAATTTGCATTGTGTTATCAAGTGAACTGAAGGCTCGCACAGAAAGATCTTCAAGAAGTTTGTATAAAAATGGTTTATCTGATCATAAGACTGCTAGTAAACCCATTCTTACAAATTCACAGCTGGTCAAGAAATGTGTGGAAGAGAATAAGCCACTTTTCCTGGATCTTGTGAAAAACTTGAGTGACCTTGTCCTGCCTTTAGAAGCCCTTGGACATGTCAAAGCATCTCCAGGAGTGCAGGGTCTTGTGGGAACAATTTCTTCAGTTATTGGTGTCTGGCAATCATGGAACCCCTTGCTCCGTTTGGTGCCTTCGTAGAATTCAGAAAATTGATTCCGACTAAAATATGTGCAAAGAAGTCAAGTTCGACATGGAGCGAAGTACAGCTGAACTGAAATAAAAAGTGAATCCAAATTTTGTGATATAAAAATTTCAGTGTCTGGTTTTGTTGATCCATTAAGAATGTCAAATTTGTACTGCCCGTCTAATAATTTTAAAATTGAAAAGATTCAATAATTTATGTTGAGCTAGGTAATTGGTGTTGTACAAAGGGGATCCCACTTAAATCGAAATCTGTGGGACCATCAGATTTTCTTTGGATATGTCATGTTTTTGGGTATTGCCTGGAACAATGCCACTCCGGTGTCTTCACGGCTTCTACTTTTCTTCATTTTCGTCAAGGAGGGCTGGAAAAACTCTACGTTTTTTACTGTTTCATTTTCTTTTCCCGTCCCAGCAATAATTGTCAACAACATAACCATTCTGTTCTTATTTAGATTCAGAAAATAATGAGACAGAACTATTATAATTGTAATGATTTGAGATATTGTGCTTTATCTGCCAACTCTCATTGTCCCAGGGTTTGAGTGTATACTGTATAAATAAGTATGATAAATAGAAAGAGGGTTTGAGACCAAATGGAAAGACAAAAGGATTTTGTCTCTCTTTCTCCATGTTTTTGTCTCTCTCTCTCTCTCTCTCTCTATTTGTGTGTGTGTGCGTGCGTGCCTGCTTGTGTGTGTGTATGTGTTTGTGTGTGCAAAGTGAAATTTAAAACTACACGTATGTTATATCAACTTGTCAAATGCATACTGCATACTGCCTGAAAGTACAACATAAGGATGGAGCTGGAGAGGTGGGGTGGAGGAGGAGGGAGCAAACCGTCGACAAACAGTAGTTCATAGAGTGGTGTATGGGAGAAAGGGAGATTATCATTATTACTGCTCAGCTGTGGAATTGGTACTTTCTGCCATGTGTGGTGTGTACCTGTGGCGATCAGTTTTCCGGCCATGTTGCGGGGGGAAAATTTATGTTAATAAGGACAGTACAACAGCTGGTTGTTTACGAGGGGCAGATCAAATATTATATTATTTATGTTTTCTTTTTTGTACAAAACCTGGGGGCAGGGCTGGTTGTATTGTCTAAGGGGGATAAAATGAGGTCTGACTGTACTCACTCGATGACGATATGCGCTTTTATGTGAAATGAATGAGGCTTACCACCTGCCAATGCTTTCTGCTTCATCTTATATATACAGACAGTGCTCAAAATTTGAAATGACTGTATGTTGCTCTTAACCAGTGCCTTTTACAAGATGTGTTTTGTCAGTTTAATCCATATCCAAGCAAAGACGAAAGCTTATTCAGAATTGAAATCCTATCTGTTTCCCATTATAATACAAATGGGAACCCGAGCTCCTCAACTTCGCATACATATATTTTCATATTGTTCCGCTCATCAACTATGAGAAGTGGTAGTATGTAATTCTAATAGAGTGAAGCTGAGGTAAAATCATCCGATTTTATAATCATTGAATGCGAGTGAATTAATGTTTGTCTCTGTACTGTATACCCACCGTGATTGTCTGGAAGAATGTTGCCCTTGTTTGGAGATAAAGACTGACTTTATGTGTATACATTGATCAAATCACAATGAATTTCACTTTCCCATAAGAATTAAGATGTTTGTTGCTTGTGGCATTTTGAGGCCTATTTTATTGGATTTCTTCTTTTTTATGCATTTGAATTTCTCAATTAACTTTTGTGGCCTTACCTTCATGTTTGGTTTTTGTTAATGACAGGGTATTACTATTAACACATTTTAGCTTTCTTTTTCAGCAAATTCTTCTTTTTTTTTTTCGTCTAATGTTTTAAGATTGGGCTTCTTTTTTGTATCTCTTTACTAAGTTATATACTAATACCAATATTTGCCAATAATAATATATTCTCAATCATCCGGTTGTAATATAATAAAACATTCTATGATAATACATTATATCTTTCAAATTTCATACATGTATTGTATTTAGCCAAATTAGCATCTCTGTGTATTGTCTTGAAGATTACACTACCACTTGGCGTATTAGATTTAATAATGTATTTGACAGGTTATTCATAAAACTGAAAAAGTTAGAAGCAACAAAATGTGGTTTCTTAGGAGACTACTGATAATATCGTAGAAGGAAAAGAAATTGAATGAGGTATTAAAGACAATCAGGAAAGGGCAAATGCTGTTTTTTGAACACCTGAATAGGCATAAAATTAAAGGTCTTGAACATCTAGCCCTCACTAGCAAAATTGAAGGCTAACGAGGCAGGGTTAGGCCCAGAGCAACCTAATTATAATGTGAACCTAAACAAATGGATAATGGGGAAATGCAGCTTTTTTAAGAGCACCTGAGCAAAGGAATGAATGGAAAACCATGATCGCTGATGTCTGCCCGGCTGCCGCTGATCTGGCACTGGATGATGATGATTCATAAAAAACAAAAATCACAGAACAATTTTGCCTCGGAATAGGCTATAAAAACATGTCGTTTTCTGTAAAGTTAAAACTTTTATTCTCTAACTCTTGTAGTTGAAGATTTTTGAGTGGAGCTTAGCCCTCAGTGTGTCTCGTTTAGTGGGTCTATTTGCTTTTTTGAAACAACCTTGAGCTGCTGTTATTTGGTGCTTGTAGGCCTATTTCTCTTGTTTCTTTTGTAAGCCTTTTAATTTTGAACTATGCTTTGTCTTTCAGTGGTTTTTCTTATTCTATGATTAAGTTTTTCAATCGGGAAAACTTTACATGTGTTTTCCCACAACTTATTTTTTGTTTTGTTTTTGTAATACATTTTCTTTTAGTGGTAAGCGTAACTCTAATTCAATAATAATTAAGTAATTAAGTCGAAATTTAAAAAAATCAACGATTCATACCGTATAACACGGATAGGTCAAACACAGAAGACTGGAAATCATGTTTCTATTGAACTGTACCTGCGGTCCCTTTTTTTTTCTTTCTCTTTTATAGTTTGTTAGATGTTCTTTGACTACCGAGGCTGTTCCCGAAGAATTTGAGCTATACTTGTTATACTGTATCTGTTATAGCTGCATGGTTAGTGAGAAACTGGCAAATCCCTATACATGCATCTAGATCTAGTTATTTTTACCTTCAGGCTGGATTATGAGACATTATAAGGTGAGAATGAGACATCTCCTTAAATCAAATTTTAAATGGTAATAGTAATAGTCCTATAGTCGTAATATATGGTACTTCATGTGTTCATTTGTCATTTTTCTTTCATTGATGATATATCGGCGCGAGTCCACACCCCTTGTGGACGTATCGCCGATATAATGGCTGTGATAGGGTGCCTCAGTATTGTTTCGTTTTAACACGTTCCGTCATTTATAATTACTTTTTATTGTTATTGAAAAACTCGGAAAGGATTTAGGAAATGAAAACATCTAGTTTGACTTTGTCAAAGCGTGGGTTTGGGGAAAAACGAGTGAATTTATTCTTGTGGTCTTGCATTGCATCAACAAAACCATGTAACAGGACTCAGTATAAATATCATAACTCAAACGAAAATTGGAATATTGCTTTCAAATAAAAAGCCGTGCATTAAGAAATTTATGGATTATGCTCTTGGCCTGTATAGTATATATTATATGATAAGATAGCTATGCTGATTTGCTTTCACATGTTTGGTGAATGTAATTTTTTCCTTCAAAATTTATTTTTCTCATCACCATCGCCATTTCTAACCCTTGTAATGCAAACTAATGTTAAAAATTAACCCTTGTTTCGTGTTGTGATGTAGGCCTATTCCTCATTCAGTTTCCTTCAATTTGATATGTCATGTTACGTTTTGAGTGATGATTATTGCTTCTATGAAGTTATTTTGTACACAACCTGCATAGCCAAATGAAGCCACAATTAATTTATTGGGTCTAGACCCCCCCAAAAAACTACGCCCGGAAAGAGTTAAAGAGCTTTTTCTGTTTCGTTTCAGTTTGAGTAACGTAGTTATATAAGTATAAGAGAAGAATAGCAAGAGGAAAAAGCCAGTCTGGAACATGCACTGATAAATTGAAATTACAGGGGGCTTGTAAAAAATAAATACACCTTGACAGTGGTGTCCTTGAAAACCACATAATTTTAAAATTAATCTCTACTTTTTTGATGGAATGGTCTGTGAAACTGATGGATTTTCATACTTACGGTATTGATAAAAAATAAGGTTTCTGTAAAACAAATGAAAAAACATTTTCATTTTTTCTGGGAATGCTTTTTTTCTGCATGCGTGGTTGATCTTTATTTCTTTTACATATATATATATATATATATTCAAGGTGATTTTCTGATATTTTTGTCCTACTACACCAGAGAGTTTACAGTAATACTAATAATATTACTGTAAACCCTCTCTGACTACACTCAATCGTAGTAATATATATACAGTAAGCTGATCATTTCTTATGCTTCTATTACTATTGTCAGTAGGTGCTATTCGTGTTTTTTAAGAGTAAACTTGATCATCTAGCCCATTTGTCCTCATTTAAGGAACAAACAGTCTGGGTTTTAAATAAATTACTTTTCCCAAGCGAAAAATGCCACAAAAATATTGTGATGCTAAGTTGCATACCGGTACATGTACCATAGTTTTCTTGACATTGATGTTAAAGACTGTATTAAAAAAATGAATGGAATAAAATAATAATAATAATAATAAAGGTTTTATCATCATTACATATGATGGTGATAGTATTAGTAATAAAATTTTTATTCAGAGGAGTCTGCTCAAACTTAAGCCAAAATCTGTGGGACTGCCAGATTTTCTTTGATTTAACCACGTTTTCAGTTTAGAGAGGTTGTTCAAGTAGAATATAAAATCTGGGATTTTCTTTTCTTTCAGTTTACTGCTGTTTTTGGATTACTGTGTGTAATTGTGTTCAGTTAAAGTTAAAGTTAAAGTGGACTACACTGTGTTAAAAAAGAACCCAAAAGCAATGATGGTAACAGAACACTCATAGTAGGCTACATGTACGGCAGTAACAATAAGGTCAGTCTGTTCTGTACTGATTTACATGGCAGAGAGATTAGACACTTTGCTCTAGCATTCAGGAGACCTGAGTTCGATTCCTGAGTGGAAATTTTTAAAATATAAATCGAGGATCTCAGTCTGTCTGTTGGAATGTTACATTGTAAACTTATACACATGTGTCCCTTTCATTCCAGGTTGGCCCTGGCAGGCAGGGTTGAAGCCTGCATCGTAAATGATCAAAATTGTAGTGATGGACGTAAAAGCACCTATAAAAAACCCCAAAAACCTATTTGTCTTGTGACTACCGTAGTGGAACATCAGATAGATAGTGAGAGTGAGAGAGTGCTCACATTGATTTTTAAAAAAATGTAAGGCGCTTCAAATGTCTGTAGGCCTAACTGTTTTACTGTAAAATGTGTCAGAAGTCAGATGAGGCAATTTCTTTTGTCCAGTTCTAATTTTCTTTTACTTGACAGAGCTTCTATTAAAAATACTACTAATAATAGTAAAGTACAGTAATGGTACTAATGTTGACTATAAAAACTACACTGTTGACTTTTGTTGCCGATGTTCAAATGTTAATATAATCTATCCTTTGTTTTGTTAAATTAATGTGTTTCTTATTGACTAGATTTAAAGAAAGAACATGTTATTGAACATGATTGTATGTACCTGTAGTTCACCAAGAGTTAAGCAGATTAAAATAATTTAACTTGTCACTTATGTAGGCCCTACATTATTATACAGTATAACACGGGTAGGTCGAACACAGAAGATTCAAAATCGCGCATCTGCTGAACTGTGCCTTCGGTCCCATTTTTTTTCTTCGTCTTTGTAAGATATCCCTCGAACTACGGATCCCTTGAACTACTGAGGCTGGTCCCGACGAATTCGAGCTATCCGTGTTATACTGTACAATACTTTTGAATATATTGTGGAAGAGAGAATACAGTGCAGCCTCTCTATGACATCGTCGGGGCCAGAAAAAAGTCGTTATAGAGAGTTGTCGTTATAGAACGGCAAACAAAAATATTACTAATGACAAAGGGAAAAAATCGGGACCTGGGCACCTTGTGGCTAAGCTGAGGATGTCGTTATATCGAAGGTCATTATAGAGAGGTTGCACTGTAAATAAATTATATTATTCGGGATGCCATGAACATGTGTTACTTATCATGTTGAGAATAAAGGAAAACCGCTAAAAAGAAATCAGAATGGTTTTGGCGTTCATGTTACACTGTACTGCTCATCAATGTCGGGTGATATGAAAAGATCTAACGTAAGGTATATGATTAAGTGATACAAACGTCTACTTAAAGTTATTGTCACAAGTGCTTGAAGCGCATGCTTCCAAGCCGAATGAAAAAAAATTAACTGTCTGACACAGTTAAAACAAGTGGGTGACAGTGACAGTTTGGATTCACATACAGTCGAAATTGTCTAAGTCTAAGAAGACTGCCATCACCCAGTGTCGAGGAAAAAAGTGGCTGTCTTAAGCAGTGTCATTATAATGTGAAAAAAAGGCAAGGGGAGAAATGGGAAGTGGTCGTTTTAAGAGATGATTGTCTTATTATGGTTATACAAGCAATACAGGTTCAGGTAGACGTTAGTACAAGTTCGATAGTACATGTTGATCTTCGTGTCACTTACAAAACAAGAGTACAGAGAGTTTAACAAGAAATTCTTGTTACTATGCTGCAAAATGATTTCGGATCCTCCGGGTTTTTTTCCCTTTTTTATTATACTTTTTGTAGGTACTATACTGTGTGCATTCAACTTCCCTTAGATTTAGATCTAACACGAAATCTGCTTTACAAGGAGAAATTTTCAGGTCCTGTGAAGTTCATGTTATCAAGGTTTTACAACTGGCATCTGTGGAGTAGCATTTGGGTACTTTGCAGAGGACCTGAATTAAATTCTCATGTGGGGAGAATTTTTATTGAGTACCTCTGGCTTCTGCTCTGACCAAGCGCTCAAACACAAACAAACTGATAACATCTTTCGCTGTCTATACCTTGGTTGTCTATCCATTCCCACCTGGGGGAAATGAGGAAAGTTCAAGTAGTGCCTTTCCCAAGGACACAGTCGTCAATGCCAGGCCCCTGGTAGGATTTGAACCTATGACCTTATGGTTGTGTGTCCAAGAGCATAACCATTTGGCCACTGACGACTGACTGTTTTCAATGAAGACTGATATAATATCTCTCAAGCTACGGAGAGGTTTTGCACATATCAAATGTATAAATTATAGTAACACAACGAAACAAGTCACTTGTCGCACTCATATTTGGGCAAAAGCATCAAGTTTCTCAACTAGGTCTAGAGTCTTTAAATTACACTATTAAGATCACTTTAAAAGATGGGCTTCCGACCCTGCCTGTCAGGGCGGAGAAGGATACAACATCCCAGCAGAAAGACAGAAATACTAAATAAAAATTTGCCATACGTGGGAATTGAACCCACGTCTCCTGGGTGTGGCAGCAAAACACCTAACCGCTTCACCACAGACGCCGGTCCAACAAGAGTCAATACTGAATATTCGGGTTTAGTATTGCCCCACATTCAAAGTGAATATAACTTTGGAACTAAAGCAGTAGACACCTACTTGTAATCTTTGAACAGTATTTTGATTTGATGCCAATAGTATTTGTCAAAGTCATAGTCAAAAGGCAACATGAATGTGACTTATTTTGTCATGTTACTACACAAATAAAATACGAAGAGGACTCTTTGGTGCATTGCTGCATCAATATCCCCATACAAAACTAACGTGGGTGGTAGATAAACGTACTCAATTCAAATGTAGTGATCACAGCATTTAATGAAATGCGACATGAATTAGATGGGAGGACACATTTGATCCACAATAACAATGCAATACAGTGTATATTTTTTTTCTGCGACAGTTCTACAAACATCTTAATTATGTAAAAACCACATTAACTACTAGATAGCATCACAAGTTGAATATCACTTGCTCTCTGGAAACTGTATGTCATTGAGTTTTTGTAGTCTTTTCCCAATCCTCCTGTTCCTGACTGCAGTCAACCTCTGTAGTCGCCTCCAGTAATATTTGGAATTATTGTCTAGTTCACTGAGATCAACACCACCTGGCTCCGTCCGCAAATTCCACAGCCAATCTGGGTACTCTGAATTTGGTTTTATTTCAGGGTCTGTTCCCTCTGCATAAATGTTGGCCCCGCAGCAGTAGTTTAGAAGTTTCTCTGGGTCATTTTCCACTTCAAGGCGAGCTTTCTGTGCTCCTGGGGCTCCAACTTTGCCAACTATCAAGAGGAGAAAAAGAAAAAAATTCTTACAATACAAATACAAGATGACAGACACTTCAAACAGGGTGTCCGACCCATCACTTTCATTCTCAGCCTAGGCTGCATCTTGTTAATCTTAATTGCCCCCAACTCCTGCTACAATGTTTTCATCAATTATAACTGATTTGTCATTTGCTTGTACTGGCTCATCTACAGTTATTTGCTCGTTCTGGCTCATTTGTATCACTTTTCAACTCGCCGAGACACCTTCGGAGGGTCCGAAGCTCAACTGCAGTTTGATGGGCTCTAATACTAGGACTCCTGGCTCTAAAATTTCAGTTCGGTATCAAACGGAAAAAGAAACACTTTACAATAGATTTACAAAGCTAAATCTGGGTTCCAGTCTCCTCGAGGAGAGACTTCGTTCCTAAAGACGACTGGTATGAGCAGGTGATTCCGGGCGGCTTAGGGTGGGGCGTGTAAGTAAATGTTCGGGCGATCTAGGACGAGTTAGGATCTAACGTGACAAACGACATTGAAATACTTTGGTTTATTAAATATATTTCTGCTACTTAGCTTAAACGATGTGAAAATAGACCTACACATTTTTATTTGCCTGTATTTGCCATTTATATGGAAGGACTTCCATTATTAATTATAACAAGCGACCATCCGAACAAACACAATAACATTAATAAAGAATGGACCTAACCCTACCCTGACTCTAGCCTTACCCTAACCCACCATTTCATTGTGGTCGCTTGTAAGGGAACTCCTCCCTTTTAATACTTTTATATGCATTTAATTGCAAATTTGGGTTTGTAATATGTTGTCTCTTAAAATAATCTTCTGGGGTTCTGGAGTTTCTGATCCCACCTGATTTTTAGGGAGGATTCCGAGGAAAAGTCCTATTTTTATAGTAATTTTATAGTCAGTTTACAGATCTGATTAGAATCTAATAGAAAGAGTGAGAATCAACCAAGAGAACAGGCTGGATTTAGAAAAAGATACTCAACAAAAGACTCTCTCTCTCTTTCTATAAATCATTGAATCAAGTAATAGAAAAATGAAACGAATACTACAGCTATGCTTTGTTTTTACTGATTACGAAAAAGCCTTTGACTCCATCGAATATTTTTCAATTTTTGAAGCTTTTGGGAAAATAAATGTGAACTAGACCTACGTGATTCCATTATTGATAAACATAAAAAAAAACTTTAATCAAAAAGTGTCAACTAGAATACATCTTGACATCCATGTGTCCGAAAAGTTTGCCATAGAAAATAGAGTGAGGAAAGGAGACTCCATTTATGACCTAATCTATTCACAGCAGCAATTTAAGATATCAAAAAGGCATTGCTCAGTAAAGAAATTCCAATAGATGGAAAATTCTTCACCTTATCTTTACAGCCGGGATCATTTTGTACCCCCAGGGTTGTGGTTGTATTCTTCACATTTTAGAATACTTCTAGGGGAAAGATTTCTTTGAAACTTTCAGTATTTCTCAAAAAATCATTTTGACAGACTGCTATGCAAAGTGTGCAGATCGGATTAACGAGTAAATTTCCTCTTTGAAAAGAGGTGGCACAGAGTTCCCCGCGTCGTTTGGATACGATAGTAAAACACGATAGGGTTAAAAGACTTGAGATTTGCTGATAATGTGGCACTTTGCACTGAAAATAAACACTAAATGGAAATTATTAGAACAGCAAAAATAGTAGGCCTTAAAATCCACATAGATAAAATTAAATACAGTATAACACGGATAGCTCGAATTCATCGGGACAGGCCACTGTACTTCAAGGGATATCTTACACACACACAAACCTAAAGGCATACTGGTAAAAGTATAAAATTGACTTTCCGTCCGTCTGTCAGTCTCTCTCTCTGTTGTATTGGTGCGGTTTTGAGGGGCATCTTTAGAAATGAAGTCTCGCCTTGATGAGACTCTGAGGCTGAGATTTTGTTTTACATAGCTTATGGCAAAATGTTTCTTCTTCTGTATAACCCTTTCGTTGCCAGTGGGTATGCCTTCCTTTTGTCAGCCCTGATTTTCAGCTGAGCTTGTTTCTCAGGACAGCAGCCTAGTGCTTCAGTGTTTTTGTCATCTTCCGGGGTTTCCCTCGCAAGTTGACTAACTAGAACTATCACTATCACTCTTATTATTATTCTTTCATCATCATAATAATAATATCTTTATAGCCATTTTGTAACAAATACAGTAATACAGTAGGGGTCGCATTCAACGAGGTTGCAGGGACCGGATTGCGTCCTCGTTGAATCTGGCCTCTCGTTGAACGTGACTAAGGCTAAAGAAAAGAAAGGAGACAAGTTTTTTTATTACACGACGTACCAATACCAGTAATTAAAACAGATGTTCCCTCTGATGATGAAAATCTCAATGTGCGCGTGTTTGAGTTGTGTTCTGACCCTTATTTCTGCATCCTAAAATATTTTTTTTTACGGAACACTTCTCGTGTGGAAACATAACCCTCTCAGACAGATATCTACATAAAGTAAAGCTGGGAGCTTGGATTTTCTGATCAGGGGAAGAAAAGAAAATTGAAAAAAAATTAAGGTCTCGATCTAGAACTACCCATCCAGAGTTCATCCAGTTTCACACAGCCCGCATTGCTTTCCCACACACCCCCTCCCGTTCCTACCGTAGGTTAACCCCTCACCCATCCTCTTGGTATTGGGGCCTATATTTATTATTGGGAGGCACACTAGATCTAGCAATACAATGAGTTATGAATTGAGGATGGGCCTTGTGCTTCGCGTGAGATGGAGAGAACGTTAAAAAAAATACATCACTTTTGGGGCAGATAATTGCTTTTTTTTGGGTTATCCCGGCCTCGTTGAAAGCGACTTCGGCCTGTGTGCAGCCTCGTTGGAGCTGACATACATTTACAAAGAGACATAGAGGAAAAAATCAGGGATTACGGAATGCCTCGTTGGAGCTAACTTCTCGTTGAATGTGACCTCGTTGAATGTGACACCCACTGTATACAATTTGAATATATTTTGGTATTGCTCAGCCATTCCAGACACTCTAAATTAACTCAATACATTATAATATTGTATTCTCAAGCACAAACATAGACGAACATCAAATACACACACAAACACACGCACATGAACAAAGGAATTGGATGATTCACACATGAATACACGTGTACGCTTGTAGATACACACATGCATAAACACATACACACACACGGCAAAGATAGGTATATTTAGATACATACACCCTTTCCAATTTATATTCATACTTATAATTACACTTGTCATCTTCATTTTGATTCCAGTTATGTGAAAAAAAAAATGCAGACTTCAATCAAATTTTCATATTCCTTAGTTTTCTAGTCAACTCGCGAGGGAAACCCCAGAAGATGACAAATATAGATGGTGGAAATACGTCATCTATATATATATTTTTTTTTTGGCCAATCACAGAGGTGTGATAGGTGCTCTCTGTAGCTTCATGTTTCCAAAACTAAGGACAGCATACAGAGCAATGAAAAGGAAGAAGCTGGGCATAAGAATACAAGGCAAATAAATTACACAAAAAATGCTAGAAGGGAGTGCCAGAATCCCTGATATCCCCAAAATTACACTACGACAAAAATGGAAAGGGGCTGGTCATATCGGCAGAATGAAGGACTATAGATGGACAAAATAAATGTCCCATTTTGTACAGAATGGAGACCAAGAACGGGAAAAAGATCTAGAGGTAGGCCAGAAGAAAGAATATAGATATCATATTGCACTACGGCATCAAAGAGAGGAGAGGATATCGGTGCAACCTGGCCGAAATCAACTGAAAACAGAGTGGAGGTCATTGTAGGAGTTGGAGGCGGAGGGTACATCATCCTGACAGCAATTGACGAACAACGCCTAGAAAGAAATAGATCTGAATCCGAAAATATAGTGATAGTCAAAACCTCAAAGATAGCGAATATAGTAGTTAGGCCTAGGCTTATACTAATAGTTTACTACTAGATCTAATAGCCGCAGCAGATAGATACATGTAAGTTATGTAAGGGCCCCTTTACACATACGACGGTACAGTTCATTCGCCGACAAACTGACAGTTAAACCGACAAACGCTAGATCTGGGCCATCGTTGAACTGAAAGTTTGTCGACGAGAGAAGTTCCATTTGGACGTACAGTTTTTTTTCTCCTTATTTATAAAATGTCAGTCCTTGACAAAACACCCGAAAAAATTAAACTTGGTAATCCGGTATTAAATTGCGCTCCCAGCGTGATTTTGACTAATTTTGTTTCGCTGATCACAAAAATCTTATTAGAGGCCAGCTCTATTCTTCGGACTCGAGTCCGATTAGATATTTATCTATTCAGACTGGAGTCCGTAGTAGAGTCAGATACATATATGGCATATAGCTGAGTCAAACACCAGTGTAGTAAAGTCAGATCCCCGGTACCAGTGTAGTAGAGTCAGAGATACAAGTGTAGTAGAGTCAGATACCAGTGTAGTTGAGAGAGTCATATATACCAGTGTAGTAGAGTCAGAGGAGTCAGAGATACCAGTGTAGTAGAGTGGGTCAGATACATAGCTTGTACTCATTAAAATAGACTATAAATGGTGAAAACCACTTTAGATACTCTATCGTTGAGTCCAAGTGTTGATAACAAGCATTAAAAATCATGTTATTAAGCTTTCAAAGCTTGTATATATAGATCCTTTTTATCCATGCTTCTCGGGGGAATCTTTGTTCAAGCATGGACAGGGTGAGGGACTTCTTGCATAATTATACACACATCGATTCCTAATCCTATGCAAAGAAACAAATGTGATAATAATTGGAAGTGACAGGATGTCAAAATACTGTCCGAATCTATGAGAAAAAAAAAAATGTGAACGAACATGTAAATAAATCTGGCGTCACTTTCGCACCCAGTCAGGGCCTCAAATATAGGCGAACAAGCTGAAACAGTACATTCCTGGGGTCATCCAATCACAGGGGGCTTCCTGTAGCAAGTTTCGGTTTACCTTTGGGGGCAAGGCAGATAGAAGATATAAAGCTTTAAAGTTGACACACCTATTTTCGTCCAAATTTTGACCAAATGGTAATATATTACTCTAAGTCTAGAGGCTACTGAGAACCCTTCGAAATTGAGAGGATTGCTCGTTTCCACCCCAGTTGTACAAGAAAGTTGACAGGATGCCCGCCATTCTTTCGATATCCTACAGTTGGTAAGATTGTACTTTACCGGACCACCGGTCGGAACTACTTTCGCTATGGCGCCCTTGGGGTCTAGTGGCCTGCTATTCTTCCTTTCCAAGCTCCCCTACTCACCCTGCTACTCAGTTTTCTACTTCCTCATCCTTCGACTGCCAGCAACCAACCGATGTCTCTTACCGGATTTTTCAGTCATCACGACCATGCCACGTGCCCTTTGACCCACGACCCTGACACCTAGAGGCTAATTGGTCAATCTAATAACGTGGTCCACTATTCTTATTTGCTCGCGACCCTGCGAGGCTAGGCCTACTCCTGATCCGGTAAAGTACAAAGGAGGGCGAGAGATGCGCACGAGAGCTCATTTGCATAATTGCAACCCCCTCTGCCCTGCTCTTTACTTGGCGAGTGCTGCAAAGCAAGGCTCGGCCTGTTCCAACTCTAATTTTAATTAGTTCTACCCCGATCGTCCACTTACACATGGTCCGCTCATATTATTGTTTATGTGTGTTTTTTAACATAATTATTATTGTTGCCAGGGGGCTAGCCCCTCAGAAACCCCCCAGTTGTTATATTGATATGTCCAATTGACCGCTCATGTTATCGTTTTATGGCATGTGTGTCCCCTGAAGCCCCCCCCCCCCCCCCCCCCCAACCCTCTCTCTCTCCCTCTCTCTTTCTGTCTGTCTATCCCCTTTCTCTTTCCTTCTCTCTCTGTTTTTCTCCCCCCCCCCTCTCTTTATTTTCTCTGTCTGTCTGTCTGCCAGTCCCCCCCCCCCCTTCCCTCTTTCTCACTCTCTTTTTCTCTCTCCCCCCCCCCCCACAACCTTCTCTCCCCTTCTCTCTCTCCCCCCCCAACCTTCTCTCTCTCTCTCTCTCTCTCTCGTGTGCGTGTGCGTATTATGTCTTTGGCCCAGAACGAGATATTCATTCTTTCATTCAAACTATTTGCAAGCGTATTTCATATCAAGTATGCATTTTTATACAGTAAAGAGATAAGGAAAGTTGATAGCACGGTTATCTTTTAAAAAATATTTCTTGCAACTACGAGACAAGAACTGAAAACGAAAGCTCTCAATATTATTGCCAGGTCTCGTTATCTGAGAAACTCATTATTGGTCAATGTTCCCTTTACTCAACTTTACTGTCTTATTTTGTTCTGCACTAAAACTGCGCTTGTGTTTATATATACAGACAGACAGACAGACAGACAGACAGAGAGATTTTAGATCAGTTCCTACACTCAATTCATTCTTTTGTTTCAGCCTCATAATCGTCTCTTTCAATGACATTTGCTGATGCTGATGCTAGCGTCTAATCAACGAGATGAGAGTGCTATTTCGGCACTACCCCAGTCTCAACAGTTATCGAGCTCAGAAAATGTTTTTTGAACACCTTTTCAAAATACTTTGATGCCCTAGACTCAATTTCTCAAGATTACCCCAGCCTACTGCAATGGCATCCACATTCTTCAGCTCATCACACGACAGTTCGAACATTGATAGGCACTAGTGGTGTAGGCATAGTGATGGAAAATATCGTGAGAGTGATAATAGTGAAGAGGAACCTTTAGATGAGGATGAACTTGCTCCTCACCCCATTGCCAAAAAGAAAATTTCACCAATGAAGAAAGATAAAGAAGTAGATCTAGGTGACAATGACGGGTATGCGTTTTTTATTCAGCCTTTGAGAACCCACCATCAAATAAAGTTTCAGCAAAACCACGTATTGCAACATTTAAAACCATTTATAATAACCTAATGATAGATTTTTTAGAAATGTGTGCATTTTCTAGATCTAATCTAGATCTTATATATGACATTCCAACATGGCAGGCGTTACCTTAGCAACACAAAAGAATTTTCAAAATTTTACTTCATGACTTAATTATCCACTCTTTTTATATTGATGCTAACCAATAATGCTACCACATTTGTAAGCTTAGTTTCTTGTTCTTAACGAATTTCAAAATTTCCCCCTCATCATGCCTTAAACCGGCAGTGGACGCTCCGTCTAGTTTAGTCTAAACTAAGCTTGAGTGCCGTGAACGTAGCCTCAACAGAGCCTGCAAACTGCATTCAGGGCGCCGTGAACGTAGCCTGCCAACTAGAATCTACATTCACGGCGCCGTGAACCTAGCCTGCAGATTACGTTCACGGCGCCGTGAACGTAGCCACTGCGTTTCTTATTTTCCTTTTGGCGCCGTGAACGTAGCCTGCCAGTGCCAACTAGAATCTACATTCACGGCGCCGTGAACCTAGCCTGCATTCCGTGAACGTAGCCACTACTCAAGTCTACTGCGTTTCTTATTTTCCTTTTCGGGCTTTGATTTAGATCTAGGCATCGGGAGCTCAGCTAAAAACTTGAGGGGGCTGTCTATACCGCATCAAATTTCTTACCAACTTTCTTGGCATAAGTTCTGGCTACTGTAAATTTGCTGAACGTCATATTATTAGAAAGTCCCCGTAAGGCAAGACTTCTAAAGGACGCCGCCATGTTGTTTTTCAATACTACTCCAAAACAAGAATTCTCTAGGTCTATTTGCCTTGCTAAGAAAACAAAATAAGTAATTTTTTTTAACAGTCTTTCTGACTTTTCTGTAATGTGTTTTGCTGCTTCATACATATGACTACTATGATATTAAAAATTTGAAAAGCTTAAATACCTTAAACAACTGTAATTTTCACCCACAGAGGCATCGCCGTTCATTTAGTTCGAAACTAAATATTTTGCTAGATTCCAGATGGCACACGAAAAGTAGCACCGACAAGAAAAAACGAATAGAACGTTTTCCAAATGTCACTGAATCAACCGGACACAGAATTTTAGCCTTGTGATCGTGAATGGGTTTTGTAATCTTGACGTCTTTATATCTGTATTCCTTTATATAATTTACATATTGCAATTTCGAAGCCTTCCCGTACACTCATGTGTCTCAGTTATGCAAAACTAAAAGGTGATCCACGACATTATAATGAAATGAATGGTGGTGTAGCTGGTTTGGCCTCGTTTGTATTGTTGTTGAGTTCGGTCCGTTTTGGGGTGCTGACACAAACTCAAAATCCACATTACAGATTAGAATTTAGAATCTAGATTTCTAGATCTAGTTTTAGTCTATTTCCTATGATTTGTTGTGTATAGGCAGGTGGGGGTGGGCGGGCATAGTTTTACTGTTGTGATACTGCATGTCATGTCGTAAGAGACGACTAAACTAAAGAAAGGCGGGCACTTTTTCGGCAGTTCCCACCCCGCAGTTCTTATTCACCGGTTTTGGCCCCAAGAGTAGGCGGTTTGCCCCCTTTCCCCAATAAAAATATGGTGGAGGGGGGGGGGGGTTCAGGGGGCATGCCCCCCTGAATTTTGCCATAATCTTTGCAGTTGTTCGGTTTGATATCTTAGCTCGCCGCACATCAAATGATAGATCTAGGCTCAATACTCAAATAAGGGGGGTGGGAACTACCGAAAAAGCACTGACTTAAACAGGCCTTCAAAAGGTGGGTTTGAACAGTTTGATCTCCCGAAAAAGCCAGATTGCAGAGGGCCAACTACCCAACCCAGTAAAAACAGTCAGTTACAGAAAAACACAGCATTTATTTTACGATCTTGGGAGATGATGGAGGAGCTTCTGCATTCATAGGAACAGTGAAGGAAAGCGGACAGAGCCTAAAGGACTCTCCTTACCTGAAATCTTCTCGTGTTGAACAAGTCTCTCCGGATTACGTTGTGGGATTTTCACACCATGTATGAAGCAGGAAAAAGTTCTCAAGTATCACAAGAGATGAAGAGATACAGGCTGCACATACTAGGAGTCAGCGAAACACTGGATACAGTCTGGACAGAAGCAGCTCAGCTCGGGGGAACTAATTATATATAATTGTATTCTGGGAGGGAAGACACCATGCGGAAGGGGTGGGAATCGTTTTGAGTAAGTATGCACAGAAGTTACTTAGAGGATGGGAACCACACAGGGAGAGGATCATAATGGCTTCATTCACTACAAAGAACAGGAGCCTCAACATGAATATATAGTCCAGATCTAAGCCCCAACAAATGATACTTCGGATGAAGACAAAGATGCTTTTTACAGCCAGTTCCAGGGGTCATTGACAAACTACCAAGGAAGGATGTTAACATCATAATGGGAGATGCCAATGCCAAGGTTGGTCAGGACAACATAGGTTATGAGTGAATTATGGGACAAATGAATGCGAATGGTGAGCGATTTGCAAATCTGTGCTTTCAACAGTTTTGTTATTGAAGGCTGTTTTTCCCCACAAGAGGATTCACAAGGCTACTTGGGATTCGCCAGATGGAGTGACAGAGAACCAGTTAGATCATTTTTGTATCTCTCGTAGGTTCAGGCGTTCTCCGGAAGATGTCATAGTAGTTCAGAGAGAGGCAGACATAGGATCGGATAATCCTCTGCTGTTGGCAAAACTCAAGCTTTGACTCAAAAGCAGCACTGGAACCAAAAGAACGAAGTTCCAAATAAGTCTCTTGGACGGACACAAGAAAGAGGAGTTTCAGCGGCAGCTGAGGTACAGATTTCAGCCTCTAGCCGATCTAAGTGGAGAGGACATGGAGGTGGAGATATGCTGAACCAAGGTCAAAGAGGTCTTTACATCAACATGTCAAGAAGTAGGCCTACTTGGTGCGAAGAAATGGGAGCTCAAGGAATGGGTTAGCCAACACTCATTGGATTTAATTAGGTTTAGAAGACAACTGAAGGCAGAAGGGAATGCAAATAGAAGAAAAGGATCACATTGAAGAAGTACATGTCAAGAAATCACTAAGAAACAACAAGGGGGAATTCATGAACAGGCTGGTAGAGACAGCAGCGGTAGGAGGGCACATGCGAATCCTTTACTAGACCACAAAGACTCTTGCTGTAAAATATGGGAAACCTGAAGTACCGGAAAAGGACCAAGAGGAGAAAACTATTTTTGGAAAGGAAGCTCTGTCAAAACGATGGGCAGAGCATTTCAACAGTCTCCTGAACGGACCACCACCGAGTAACCCACAAAACATCTTTCCAGCAAGAAATGAGTTATCAATCTGCTGTGACGGTCCTTCAAAACAAGAGATTCTGGATGCCATTAAGAAGCTGAACAAAGGTAAAGCGGCCGGTCGTGTTCAGATTCGACCAGAGGCCCTAAAAGCAGATGTCAATGTGACGGTAGACCTCCTCCCATTGTTTACCAGGATCTGGAATGAGAGCAAGTTCCGGAAGGATTGGAAAGAAGGACACCTCGTGAAGCTTCCAAAAAGGGAGATCTCTGCAACTGCAGCAAGTACAGAGGGATCACTCTTCTCCCAATACCAGGTAAGGTCTTCAACAGAATCATTCTGGAGAGAATCAAGACTGCAACAGATTCAAGACCACTGGATAAACAGGTTGGTTTCCGGAAAAACCGCTCATCACCGACCAGATTGTCGCGCTGAGGATCATTGTGGAACAGTCCCTGGAGTGGTCTCAGTTGATCGTCAGTTTTCATGACTATGAGAAGGCCTTTGACAGTACAGACTGAGCAACGCTATGGAGGATAATGAGACATCACGGAATCCCACAGAAGTTGGCGAACGTCATCATGAGCATGTACGAAGGGACAAGTTGCAGGGTTGTACATGATGGCCAGCTCACTGACAGGTGTGAGACAGTGTCGTTTACTATCACCTTTTCTCTTCATTTTGGCAGTCGATTGGCTGATGAAGGAAACCACCAGAGGACACAGAAATGGCATACAGTGGACCCCATTGACACACTTGGACGATTTGGGTTAGAAAATCTTATCCCGTTTAGATGGGCGGGGCACTTGACATTGATGTGGTCTGAGGACCAAACACATGGGTTCGCAAAATATTTTTTTGCCCAGACAGGAATGGATAACTCGATCTTGTCAGGGATTGCTCCTATCATCTATGTCATGATGATTTTACCAACGCTGGTCAGAGCATGCTACCAAACCGTCTTGTGTAATCCAAGTAATCATATAAATTAAATGATCACTTCTCAATCCCTTCGTTCAACTTCCATGTTCAAACTACCACAGTCACACATACACACACATGCACACAAACATAATTCACATACTTTATGATCCAATGTATTGCTACACCCTCACATGGCTAGATTCGAGGAAGTTTTAGTGCCTTATATCTATGCACACTAACCTACACAGGTAGTGTAATGGCGTGTCTGGATACCAGCAGTGATGTGTCATGCAAAGTGAGAAGTTCCTTGGTGGCCTCGTTACAACCTGATACTGTCCATGACGATGGGTGTATTGACTACTATGGTGGGCAGAAGGCGATTTGATTTTGAATTTGAGACAGCTGAAGAGCAATCTTGACAAATGCTTTTATACTTATTGGGTTTTTAAGAAAACGTTGTTGCCATTGATACAAAGAAAATATAGCGATTTCAGAGAATGGCTTATTGTACGGGCTATCAGTGATTTTGAGTATTTGTGTTATAATCTGTGCTTGTCTGTACGTCTCTCTTCTTCCTCTCTCTTTCTCTTGGCGTCATAAACGGTCAGCGATGCCGACAGCACGCAGGAACTCAACCAGAGCACTGGCATGATAGTTGGCGGGACATTTCAGGAACACATGGTCCATAGTCTCGTCCTCCTTGCAGGCTCGACAGGACGGATCTGGGTAGTTCGTTGGTGCAATTTTGCGGAGATATGATCTCAGCTTGGGGGATTTTCCACAAGTTCTCATTTGAGAGAGAAGCTGGTGGTCCTGTCGTCTGAGTGAGGCCTCAAGCTGGTATGATTGCGGCTGGGCGAACGGCAGTTTGGGTTTCGCCTCTCTTTTCACTTTGCACAGGTCCACCGGTGGATGATGGCATGGGTTTTAGCTGTTGAGAAATCGATTGGCATGTCAGTCTGGGTAAGCACTGCTGCTTCTTTAACCATGCTGTCAACTTCCTCGTTCCCAGTTAGTCGAGTGTGGTCTGGAGTCCACTGTAAGTTAAGTGGATGGAACATTCGGAGTGTTGGCAGAGGGTGTGCAGACGCTTCCAGATTGAGCTTGTGTAGTGAATCAAGCATGCCTTGTAGCTGGAGCAATACCGGCCCGCGGGTACACGGTGGTCAAGTTCAGTATGTGGAAGTGGAAGGCGAACATTTGGTGCTCCTTAATTTAAAAAAGATTATAAAAAGATGCTTTGAAAGATGGCATTGATGTGGATGAGCCATAGTGACAAGGCCCTGTGACACTGTGTACTGAACTCAGTCTTGACATGCACGTGTGCAGTAATCTTTTTATTGTAAAAGATCAAATTCAAGGGAAAGGCAACTTTCAAACAGCTTTATGGTTTGTGAAATGGTTAGATTGCTGATTAATTATATGTGATTAGGGACATAACCAGGAATGAATGGATTTCACAAAACTCTCTTGACAAAGTCAAAAGAAGAAGAGAGCTGAAGGCCCAAGTCAACAACAGCCGTACCCGAACTGAGAAACTCGCTGCACAACAAGAGTACACCGAAGTAAACCGGGAGGTAAAGAATTCCATCAAGAAGGACAAGAATACCTACCTGAATGGCCTGGCCGAAAAGGCTGAGAAAGCAGCAACAGACGGGCACTTACGGATTGTACACCAGACTACAAGAACTCTTTCAGGTAGGTTCAGCAAGCCCACTCTACCAGTGAAAGACAAAGAGGGAAAGACTATCTTCAACCCAGAGGGGCAACTTAACCGATGGAGAGAACACTTTGATCAACTATTGAACAGACCACCTCCAGAAAACCAACCAGAAATTCTTCCAGCCAGAAATGACCTCCCAATAGTCATGGAACCACCTTCAAGAGAGGAAATTGCAGCCGCTATAAAAACACTGAAGTCCCACAAGGCAGCTGGTCCCGACCATATACCACCGGAAGCCCTTAAAGCAGAGAAAGATAGGTTTGTGGAAATTCTCTATACTCTGTTTGAAAAGGTTTGGCAAAAGGAGGAAATACCATCAGACTGGAAGGAAGGACACCTAATCAAGCTGCCAAAGAAAGGAGATCTCAGCAATTGTAACAACTACAGAGGCATTACACTCCTGTCATACCTGGGAAAGTCTTCAACAGGATACTCCTGGAGAGAATCAAGCTGGCAACAGATGAGAAGCTTCGAGGAAACCAGGCAGGATTTCGCAAAAACCGATCATGTGTGGACCAGATCGCTACTCTGCGTATCATTGTTGAGCAATCGCTTGAATGGAACTCTCCACTCGTGGTCAACTTCATTGACTATGAAAAGGCGTTTGACAGCGTGAACAGGGAAACTCTGGAAACTCATGCGGCATTTTGGAATACCTGAGAAAATCGTCAAGCTTGTGAAGGCCACCTACGATGGAACAAACTGCCAAGTCTTCCACGAAGGACAACTCTCAGAACCATTCCAGGTACAGACAGGAGTGCGACAAGGATGCTTGCTCTCAACTTTCCTCTTCATACTGGCAATTGACTGGGTCATGAAAGAAGCCACCAGAGGCAAATGTAATGGAATACAATGGATCCCTTGGCAGCAGCTGGACGACTTAGACTTCGCCGATGACCTTGCGCTGCTCTCTCACACACATGCTCAGATGCAAGAAAAGACCAAGGAACTCAACAGGCTATCAAGGAGTGTTGGCCTACGTATACGCCCAGGCAAGTCAAAAGTAGTGAAGCTAGGAAAAGTTTCAAGCCCTTCTGTGACAGTGGAAGACACTCCCCTGGAAGAAGTGGACTCCTTTACCTACCTTGGAAGTGTCATCGATGGTAAAGGTGGAACCGAGGCAGACGTTAAAGCAAGAACCGCCAAGGCAAGGTCAGCCTTCAAGCAATTTTCAAAAATCTGGAAAGCAAGCAACATCTCGCTGCGCACCAAGATTCGACTCTTTAACTCCAACGTCAAGTCTGTGCTCCTCTACGGCTGCGAAACTTGGAAGACAAAGAAAACAGTACTGAATAAAGTCCAGACTTTCATCAACAGATGTATGAGGAGTATTCTAAGAATTAAGTGGCAGGATAGAATAAGAAATGAAGAACTGTGGGAAAGGACAGGACAAAAGGATATAGAAGTAGAAATAGGACTAAGAAAGTGGCGATGGATGGGACACACCTTAAGAAAGCCCAGCGGAAACATCACAAGACAGTCACTGCAGTCACAACGAGCACGAGGCAGGGGTAGGCCACGAGAAACATGGAGGAGATGCGTGGAAAGGGACATGAGAGAAATGAAGCTCACTTGGAACGAGCTTGGAAGGATGGCTCAGGACAGATAAATGGAAGGAGCTTGTATGTGGCCTATACCCTGCCAGGGGTGAAAGGCATTGATGAGGGACATAATGGAACAGTTCCATGGTTTGTAATGAAAAGTAAAGTAGGTTTTTTCATGGTCTTTGGACCTTTAGATTAATTGCGAGAATGCATTTAGAACTATGCACTGCATAACTGATAGTTGTCTTTTTACTTTAAATTTTAGGTGCTTTTCCATTCAATTCAGCAATTAATTATAATGCTAATTTGTTTAACATGCCTTTCTTTTCTTGAGAATCAAGTTCTTGATTTACAGTATGAGATTCTGCATCTGTATTCACTAAAAATTGTTTTTATATATACATACTTCTTTCTGTTTCTTTCTGTATTCATGATATGTAAAGTAAAATGTGATGTATTCAAATTTAAATGTGGAGCATGTTTCTGCTTTTCAGATTGCTTGCTGTAGATTTACATTTTTAGGACACTACAATGGCTGATGGAGGAGACTCAGACAATAATGAGAGGCCCAATTCTGGATTGCCTCGTCCTCAGAGTGTGGGTAATCAGTGGACTGGTTCCTCAGCCTTACAAAGGGCAGCCCTCGATGATCAGGTCATGGCCTCGCCATCATCAGCTGGTGCACCTCGCTCATCATTCTCTTTAATTTCATCTCCATTTGCACGTGGTGTTCGGGAGGCTGATCCTAGCTCATCTCACTTCATTTCTCCGAGCAAAGAAGGGGAAATACCCATGGAATGTTCTCCAATGAGTGTGAAAAAGTCCAGCTCTGCAACGGTAGATACCGGTGCGAGTCCTGTTTTACCTACCACACCTTTGTCATCCAAGGCTTCGGAAAGTCAGGGGCCAAGTGTTGAGGCACATTCTCCGGAGCCACAAAAATCCGGCACGCATTTGTTGTTCTCCTCTGATGACAGTGACGAGGGCTACAGCTTGAAGCCTGCAGACATCTTTGCTGGGAGTCCAGACTCGCCAGACACCAGCCCGGTGTTGAAGACTATAAATCTGAACAGTTTTGACACAGAGGATGATGGAAATGACCCTGGGGTAATGATGCTTTCTGTTTTCAAAATTTGCCTCTTCTTCTTTTGTTCTTATTTTGTGACTGTTTTGTAAAATTTACTAATTTGTTTAAATTGGCTAGGTATATCAATCAATTATGTTCTCTAATGATTTTTAGATTATTTATTATTTTTTACTGATATTTTTTGTCTTTTCTCAGCCATTTATATTGATTTTGAATTTCAGTTTAGCTGAAATTTTTCAACATTGGACCAGAATAAGGATTGAAAAGATTGTTTTGACGTTATTCAATTTGGATAAATACAGTCAAACCCCGTTTTACATTCGGTACTTATCAGCTATGCAATGATAATCTCTTCTGCAAGCTAGTACTTGTCGCTGATTTGCCCTGTCCCCTCCTTCCTTCCTTATCACCCTTGTCTTGTAAAGATATCAGAGTGGGTGGTTGGCGTATGCTGTGGTGTGGTTTGCTTCTTCTTTCCTATCAAACATCTATTGTCCTTATCTCCCCTTCTTTTTATGTTTGTTACTCTCTTGTAACACCTCATCTTCTGGCGCTCGTATGACCTCATGTAGTTGCGAGCGCCCGTAAAACCTCTACTAAAACTAAAAATGATATCAGGCAAAATGCGTTCGACAAGTAGCCTCTGAGTAGCCTCTGATTGGGCAGCAATTTTCAGTTTCAATTTATGGGCAATGAGACAGTTTCAATGTGGGCAGTATAGCGCGGTTTGACTGTAATAAAGCTATGTTGTTTTAACTGTTTTTCACTCTCTTTTTTTTTTTCAAGGATTTTTTGAGCAGACAGACCGATCAAAGTTTCAGAAGATGTCGATCTCAGGAGATCCGCAAAAATTATAACGACTTGTCCAACACACCGCCCAATTCTTTCTCCAGTAGTGGTAGCAGGAGGAGTTTGTTCAAAAGACCTTTGGACGTGCCAGTTAAAGAGGTCAGTGAATGAGAAATCATGATATATTAGATGCATTATTTTCTTTTGTTCATAGAGAAAGCCTAAAATCTGTTCATGTTGGTTCTAGTCAAAAGTCAAAATGTAGAGTGAACCAAATTCTTCTACTTGAGTAAAGACTCGTACACATCTTTCAGTGTCTTGTGAAACCTGAGAACTTTGGTATTGGAGCTGAAGTAATGTTAGAAAACTATTTGCAACAGGTCATGTTTCATGCTTAGGGTTGGAATATTTCATAAACAGTGGTCCAAAAGTGGTCAAGATACAATTGTTTGAAATTATCTGTTTTTTAAGGGTAATTTATGTGTATGACTGGTGCTTGCAAATTATGAAAGGTTTCACCATTCACTTCAGATTTCATGTCTGATCTCACTTTATACGAGATATGAACTTGTGTTTTTGCAGAAAAGTTTCTCAAAACTTTATATGAGATATGAACTTGTGTTTTTGCAGAAAAGTTTCTCAAAACGACTCAAAGATGGCGCTAAGTTCATATCAGAGGTACCAGAAACGGAAGCAGAAGCTGGTGATAATGGTGCAACAGCAACGGCAACGGCATCTCCCTGCAAAGAGGTCTCAGATACTGATCATGAGCGTATTCAGTCTGCTGTTGATTCACTACAGTCCGGAGAGCTGATAGCAGATGGATCAAGGGTATATATATATATACTGTAGTGTCTAGTTTCAGCTGATTTTGCCATGTGATGATTCAAAGTGAGTTTATAAAACGCGCTTTCGATTAGTGTCATTTAGAGTTACTTTTTGGCACCAGTTTTATGTTTTGAAGGTTGCGTTTTGAGAAATTTTCTTTACAGCAGTGATTATTTCCGTTGGCCTTATTATTAGGGCATCAAGTTGTTCCTATGTAGTCAGTTATCTTATCCACACTGTATGATATATTCAACTCAACTTCCAAAATGCAGAGTAGCAGGTCAGAGCTGATGAGAGCTTTAAATAAATCTTTAAATGTATAAGACCATATGTGAGGTATGCTGACAAAATGAGTTACTGCCCTATGAAGCGAAATTCGTCAGATTTACAGGTGGAGTTTGTACAGTATATAGGTATGAAATAATAAAAGTAAACTGCTCTCAAGCAATGTTCTGTCATCTGCTTTTGTCTCCTCTTTCTGCCCCCTTCTTTGGGCTCCTGACTCTTTCTGCAGCCTTTCTACTGCTCTTCCTTGGATCCTTCTTACTGCTGTCTTTCAGCCACACCCCTGATATTATGGTAGGAAAGATCTACACCTAGCCTTCTCGGACAGGGGTGAAAAGTCTTGGGGCTCCCGTGTGCAAAGATCCCTTGGTGGTCTAAAATCGATAATAAGAGTGGGCTTCGGCTGCCGCCCAGGCAAAATTCAAATTCAAAATTTCTTACCATCCGAAAATGTTTAATATGTCCCACGCCCTCATATTACCTTATGCAGTTGCGAGTGCAGTAAAACACTTACCAAAAAACCTCCCCAAAAACGAGGAGTAACTCATTTTGTCAGAACACCTCACACATGTTATGTTTACTGTCACTTTTGCAGTAAAAGCATATTGGGTAATGATGAAAGAAAGACTTTCTAGTTGATGTCTTCTCTGTCTTGTGCATGAAGTGGTTTACTTATTGCTCTTCTTTGTAAACTTTATTGACTGCCCTTTCAAAATCCTATAGTTTTACGAGCTGGACAATATTAGATTAGCATTGAAAGAGATTGCAGGCTGTATATAAATATTTTCCATCTTTATTGTATTACATTTTTTTTCCGTTTCAGAATTACTGTCTGCCAGTCACCACAGGAAAGCACCATGACTTACAGAATATTAATCATGAGACCGTAAGAAATGCTCTTCTTATTTGTTTTAATATTTTGCAAATTTTGAAGTTCTTGAAAAAGTTCTCTATTCCTTTGGGGGTTTTTTTGTGCGTTTTTTCACTGATTCGATATCTGTGACATCACAAGTATGGAAATTTGTCATATTGTCATCTTGGTTGTTATGTAGTTGCCAGCGCCGTAAAATCCCATACCAAAAAACATTGGTTGTAACAGTTAAACGGGCATTTAAAAAATCAGACAATATCTGTTTGACAGAGAATTTTTCTTTGCAAGGATAAAGTGGAACTCGGTTATAATGAATTATATGCTACATCTGGCACTAATACTTATGTGTGCATATTTTAGATATTCTAGTAAGCAGAGAAAAAAACCCACTGGGCATGTGTTAGACATGTTATTTCGCAAACAGCATCAGCCATTTTCACCTTTTTAGTCACATATAATTATTTGTGATCTGTAAGGGGTAAGTGGGTAGGGGGGGAAAGTCTATAAGTAATAACACTTTATGCTGTGCAGGGAAAGACAAATTGCAGTTTGTGACACTCACTCAGAAACACAATCTCATCTGCTCCACTCACAAAAAAGTTCTGGTTTGTTGTTGCTACATTTTTCAATTTTTGGTTGTCACTTATGGCTTCACTTGAAACTTGGCATGAGTACATGTAACTAGGATTATATACTGCTTATTTGCTGATTTTGCCGTCTTCACTATTTATGCGGTTGTTGAATATTGTTGAATATAAGGCATTACTGAGTCTTTGTGTTTCTTGGATTTCATTGTTTTGACAAGCGCCTGATTTCTTCATGATGCCACATGTATGGTATTAATGAAAATTATTGTCTTTCCATAGATGGCCTGTGTGCTGGAAAACCGTTATCGGGGTGCTTATGACAAGCTAACCATCATTGACTGCAGATATCCATATGAATATAAAGGGGGGCATATCAAGGTAAGAAATAATTTCTGGAAGATTGATTATTCCTCATATATGACTGTCCTTGATTTTAAAAAATATTTCTTTCTATGTTTTTATTTCTCAGTTTTTATGAGGACTCTTTCCTCAGCCTGTTGAAATTTGCTTTTGTTATGGACCTGTGGGTAGAAGATTGTCTCATAAAGATGAAAGTGCTCACATTTGTCTTGAATACCATGAATTCTTGCCTAACTCACGCTTTTTACAAATCGATCTTTCAGTAAATGACCATTGTCTTCAATACGCAGCAGACTAAGGGTTTCTATACATTTCGAACCATCAAACGCAAATCAGAATCATGAATTTGTATATCGTCAGCAAGCTGAAAAAATGTCATAAACCCAAAATTAAAAAAAAAACATGATTTTTTTTTGGTGCAGTTTTTTAAATCGGGAGTATTCAAAATTCAAAATCTAAATGTTGCAAGGAGCACAAGAAAAGTACAATGCCCACGGCCTGTCAAAGTACAGTTGTTCAATAATGTACTTAGCCATGCTGTCCTGGGCAATATATGAGCATTTTATGTCTTTATGGCCCTGTGAAGGGGTGGTGAGCCTACCTATAAGTGCAGCTCACACAAAGTTCTGTATTTTAGAGACATTATTTATGATGGTCTCCTTAGATGTGCCGAAAACATGCACACTTTTGCTGGTAAATGCAGAACTGATGGTCACAAAAAGAGATTGATTGCATTTTCAAGACTTCAAGGGGATTCTGATTCTGTGTGGAAGAGAATGATTTTATGATGGGCGCTTAGCCAAAGAATATAGATTTAAGGGAATGATAGCGCTGCTTCATTGCTTTATTATGAAATTCAGTCTCATCTTCAAAAAGCAACAGATGGATGAAAAGTCCAGGAGCCAAACATTTTCCGTGTTTGTCCTTCAGTGTGTGTGAGAGAGAAAGTGTTCCCCCAGGGCGGTGCCACTGACTAAAGTGTCTTTAGGCCTTTCCAAAGGGGGGACATTTCTCGTTCTAGTGCTCAGTAGAATTGTAAATGGGCTGATCGAACTATGTCATGCTCATAACTGCCTGAACTACGACAGGGAACTGCTGCTTTTTCTTTCCTAATCCTTACTATCGTCATTTTCCTCTACTTCTTTTGTTACCCGCTATTTTTGGGGTGTCTTGATAGTCAAAGTAGACTTTGTGCTGTTGAAGCTAGAGAGGTGAGCCGAGTAAGTCTGATTCCCTGTAAGGACTTCTCTGTTGACATCCACCCCTTGGTGCTCATATGACCTTATGCAGTTGCGAGCGCCGTAAGACCTCTTCTAAAACTAAAGAGAAAGTGTGTGTGTATTTGTGTGTGAACATTTGTGCGAGTATGTTAGAGAGCGAGTATGTTTGTGTGTGTGTTTTGTGTGTAGCAATATGTACATTTCTAGCAGTATGCGTGGATTAAGTTTGTAAGAGTATGTACCGCGTGTTTCTTGCCTTCAGAAGAGACATTATTTTTTTTTAAACAAAAATATTTGAGGTTGGTATAATGAACCCGCCATAGCGTGGTTTTGTTGGTAATACTGGTAATAGCACTCACCATTTTGCTCGCTCCTTATGCACACACAGCCAGTGCCTGGAACAAACCACACTGAATTGATAACGCAATAAGAACAATGTGTGGTGGCTTAGTACATTTCATCAGCCTCAAAAGGAGATCGACCAATGCACCTAGTCACAAATCCCATCTGAAAAGACATCTTTTCATGAGGTGATTTACATCATCCACAGTACCTTTCTTTTGGTACTGGTTTCCAAGTGAAGGTACAATTTTTAAAAGAATGAAAAATTGTTGGGTTTTTTTTTCTCTCTCTTGAAAAATCTTGTTTTCTGGGCTTATGAAGTTTTAACAGCTTGTCGACATTATCTTATTATATGGCTGGCTTTATAAGGTTTCAGATACAAAAAAAAACAATTGAAAAATCTGTCAATAAGGAAGTTATACCTCTTTTTAAAAACCCCAGCACAGCGCGTCCTCGATGAGTTAGCTTTCCAATAACTAATTGAAGAAACCCTCTTTTTTTCCCTCTCTCTGTTTATAACTCGTGCTCCTTTTTTACTTTTATCTGTTTGAAAACAAACACCTTAAAACTTAGAGTGGCTCCAAGTTCTCAGATATGTAGGTCAGATTCTGCTGAAAGGGAGTGGCTGGATGCTGGATAAACCTGTTTCTTAAAGGTCTTCTTTTAAAATTAATGGTTGCAGTAATCAAACACAGTTTTACTTTCACATTTTCTCAGTGTATTTGCTCTTCAGTAAATAACCATCAACAAGTCAGTTTAGGGTTTCTTCTCCCTGCTCGTGACTTGTGTCGCCCATGAGTACATTTTATGGATACTAGAGCTAGACACACCATAATAATATGTGAGGCGACATGGTGAAATCAGGCGCTCGTCAAAATAATCAAAGTGAAAGGACTGGCATTTTTCATCAGGTTTGTGAATTTTTATCCAATTTTCATTTTTTGCTTTTAACCATTTCATGCCCATTAAAGAACACATTTCTGTGTGGATTTTACAGAAAAGCCATGATTAAAGGCCCAAAAAAGAAAATTTTTAATTTCCACGGCTCTCAAGCTAAGGAAATAGCTCATATTGGCGGCCATTTTCTCATTAATTTTACCTCTGCAACCAGGCGACCCACCCCCTTCATTCGCAAATATCTCAACTTCTATTCAAGATAAAGGAATATTTTTTTTTTCATCCAAAGCAAGACAAATGAATAAGCTTTAAGATGATACCGATAACTCTACATGCCCCAACACTGACGAGAGCCTGATTCCACCGCGTGGTGACACAAACTATAGTTTGTAAAGTGCATAGAGTTCCTGATGAGTGGGAATGTGTGCTATACAAATGCTATTTATTATTATTATAATGTCGGTCAAATGAATTATTTGAAGAGAAGAGTCTGTACGAAATGTGTCTTCACTGAGTAGCAGGCAATTGGGACAAAGAAATACCATGTCCGGCTTTGATAAAACTTGTCTCTGTTTCAGGGTGCGATAAATATCTATACTGAAAAGGAGATACGAGATTTCCTCCAGCGTGAAGTTGAGGAATTTAAAAAAGCATCTCGTGTGCACATCCTTGTGTTTCACTGTGAATTTTCTAGCCAACGAGGTCCTTGCTTGTAAGATGGTTGTCTCGCTTTTCCTATTTCGTTGATTGCTTTTGTTTTGTTTTGGTTTTTTTCCCCACATTACTTTTGCAGCACGGACTTTGTGTTTCTTGTTAGGGCATGCTTGATTCTCCAGGCTATGGACAAAGTATTCTGTACACTTTGGTTTAGCAGGTTATAAAAGTTTTAAAATAATGAGCTGTAGAAATTCTGCGCTCTATTGGTTTTGTGTAGTAATATATGTTCTATATGTAACTTACAATCTGTACACAACTGGAACAGCCTTCTGTTGGTCTAGAATAATAAATCACTTGTGGCATATTGACATGATGTATAAAAAGCAACCGTTCTCCCCCCAACGCCCGCTCGCTGCCCCCAAATCAAAAGTGATTTTGCATGAGTTAGTCTTATTTGGCTTTTCTAAATGAAAACTACCGAGAGTGAGGTGTTTAATATTTTGAAACAAATTTCTCTCTGCCGTTTTTGACATTTAATGATGACTGAAACTTCTAGTAAAACCTCAAAGTATTTTTTTCCACCCTGTCACTGTCTGTTTTCTTGCTTTTTTGGCTCATTGGATCTTTTGTGTAGATGTAATGTGTGCCTTTTTCTTTTGGTGAAGACATTACAAAATCTGGCTACCCAACTCAATGTGACTTTTTTTTTGTACTTCCACATCTTGAATCAGCTGTTTAACTTGGATTGGTTTTAAGTTTAAGGCTATTGTGAAGATAGGACCTTTAATATAGTAACAACTAGCCATTACTCTCATCAGAAATTTTAGTAGATAATTGAAGTATCAAACTGATATTGATGTTCAAGAAAGCAGGCGAAATTGTCTAAAATAGCCACTCGTTATCAAAAGAGAAAAGTGGACGTCTTGCACAGTGTCGTTTCATAATATAAAGTAAAATGAAATGGAAGAAATGGAAAGTGGCCATTTGTACCAGTGATTGTCTTATATTATATAGGTGGTTGTTTAACCAGGTTTATCCGCATGTACTCAAAATGAACGTTTACATACACCATCACATGTTGTTCAGGGGTGGGGGTCTGGAAATCGTACGTGATTAGTGGAACTTTTAATCTTTTTTTTTTTTTTTTTTGCTTTTACAACTCAAAAGTCATTGGACCGTAGTATTTACATAACAAAACAGACACACCCAAAATAGTGTAACAAGCTGTGTCAGATATTCTGTGTTGACGTTACTGTTAAGAAGTGGATGTTAGCTTTTTGTGGTAAAACTTTGGAGCAGGGTTCTCTTGGGTTGAATGGTCTGCTTATGTTGTTCTGGTGAAGTTCATGAGTTAGAAGTGTTATCTGTTTATTATATTACGTGATTTAAATGGGCTGCTGCACTTTTGTGGAGCACGTATGTAGAGTGGGTAAATAGGTGTGTGTTTACAGTATTGACAAGGGTGTTCAGCCAAACTGAACCCACAAGCATGCAGTCATTTTCACGGTATAAGCATGTATGGAAAGAAAGTTTGATCATTTATGATTAGAGTTGTTTTTTGGGTTTTTTATTAAAAAAAATTTTTTTGGAAAAAGATAAGTGACAATTTTATTGTCCTTGTTTACTGCATGTGCTGAGGTTTTGTGTTTACAACTCGTCCAATATGTGCACTCCACAGCAACTACTGTCAGGAACTAGGCATAATGATAGAGTGATAGACTTTAATTTAATAACTTTTATTTTTCTGTTGTTCATGGTCATGTAAGACTGTCGAATTTTTTAAGCCAATGTCTTTGTTTGCAGGTGTTTTTCGATTTTGAAATTAATATTACACATCTCCAGCAAATACTGCCAAGAACATATCTTACACAGTGACAGTCCTTGTTTGTTTAGTATAATTTTGTTTTGTTTTTATTTTGCTTAATTAAAAAAAAAGAAACTTATTCTTTTTAAATTTATGTATTCATTTGCTGGTATTAAGCTTTTGATTTTTTATATGTGCGCTGTATAGCAATTGGTTTTTAGAGGCCGAGCACAGTGCCGAAGAGTTACATTGTAAGCCATCGCTTTTGGCAGTCAACCTTTGCTTTGTTGTTTCAATGTTTTTCTTCTACCTTTTCTTGTCTTGTTCCATGAATATTTTTTTCACTGTAGTGATACCCTTCTTCTTTCCTCCCCCCCCCCTCCCCCTTATTATTATTATTATTTTTTTTTACATACTTTCCCAACTTCCAAACTCTAGAGATAAAAAGTTCAATAGTATTGTCTCGTCTCTCTCATTTTCACCCTCCTTGGTTAACTAGAAAAAAACGTCACCTTTCATCATTCCTTCCCTTGCCCCTTTTTTACTGAATGCAGAGTGTCTTGGGTTAGTTAAGGTAAAAAAGGTGCATGAACAGGGTTGGGATTAATGTGTATGCCTCCTGAAGATAATTTCTGATCTCCTCTATCAAGTAGACCTGCATGTTTGCCGACAATCGTCTGAAATCCGACAATCGCGACCCGACCCACGAACCGGCCGATGCTATCGCTAGGCCCGCCTAGTATCAGTCAATGTGCGTAGTGCGAGGCCTGGCCGACTGCCAGCGACCCCTTTTTCTCCCGTCGGCTTCGTCGGCACTTTCGTTTTCGTGCCGACCATCGACGCGCACACCGCCGACTGCCGACGTCGGCGTTTCCGACATAATTGTCGGAACCTAAGTAGAAATGCGAATACGAAAAAGGACGACAACTTAAATTATCTACTTTCAGTTTCGTGCTCGAGCGGCCATTTTCAATTTCGTTTGTTGACTAATTCAATTGTTCAGATCGTGTGGATTCATTCAAGTCCGACTCTCTTGTTCTAATAGAATCTAGATCTAGATTTATATAGAGATCATTATAGACCTCAATGGAGGATTCATAATCCAATTCTATTGTGTCAAACCCTATCAAAGGTTGTGCTGTAATATTAATATTGGTAAAAATAAGCATTTCATCAGGTGCGTGAATTATTTATTATTATTATTATATTTAGATCTATAGTCTCAGCTGAGTCCCTCTGTTCGGAATCGGATGCGGATTTCTAGTTCAAAGCCTAGAATCTATTCCTATTCACTTGTTCTTCAAGATCTAGATCTAGATCTAGATTTTTCTATATCTATATCTAGATTTATTTTTTAGATTACTAGTCTAGTAGATCTAGATATCTAGATCTAGATCTATAGTCTATATGGAGGATTCATATTCCAATTCTATTGTGTTATTGTATCAAACCCTATAGCAATGTAGATGTAAGCCATATAGATAAAATTTAGATCTAGATCTAGATCAAGAATCTAGAATATATGCTCCTTGTTTGTTTTGGAGTGTGGTTTTTAAATTAAATTTTTTTTTTCATTTAGTACTTGTTTTGGCCTTTTTACATGCGAATCCCTTTAAGATGAGGCCCGATGCAGGTTCTTTTTGGGGTAGGGTTAGGGTTAGGTCTCTTCTTTATTGTGTTTGTTGGGGTGGTCGCTCGTTACTCGGATGTCCTTCCTTATGACACCCACTAAAGCTCTAATGGGGGGGGGTGCACAAAATTTTCAGACAATCTGGTTGAGGCTCACATGCAGGTCTAATCAAGGTAGAGGCTAACATGTATTGCCACAATACATGTGGTGTTTGTCTTTCTACTTTGTGTTGTCGGGGCTTTTGTTATCATTTACTAGGTACCACATATAATGTGACCTCTTATGTTTTAATCCTTAAAAGTCAGAATTTGAAGTCACTAGGTTGTGTGTGGTGTATTTATCAGCAAACATGGTGTCTTCTGCCAAGTTAGTTCTATCATTTTATTTCTAACTTTTATTTAATGAACACAAAAGTCTCAAATTATCGTTTTGGTTGTTTCATGCATGTTTGAGTCTTTATTTTTCACTAAGATAAACAAAAATTAGTATGACTGTTTCTGACTCACAAAAATGTTTGCTTTTTGTGTTCTAATTGGCTTTCGAATTCATTTGAGAGTACTTTAAAGTACTGTACTGCAAGTCATTGAAAGAGTGTCTGAAACCTATTAACATTTTATTTAAATTATTAATTTATAATTTACAACACATTTTTTAGAGGGCAGTTCAAGATATTGGTACTCGAATTAACGTTGTTTAATAAGAAAATTGTTGGGGGGGGGGTTAAAAAAACATTTTTGGGGGTTCACCTGGGTAACATAAAAAAAAATCATGGAAAATATTTTGTGAATTTGCTTTAGAAAATGTTGTGAACAAGTGTAAAACTTCTATCCGTCCTGAATTTCAAGGTCTCTTTAGTAGTGACTACAATTCATTTGTATTGAAATGTGAATGCTTTCATATATGTGTCAATAATGTGGAATAAAAATGCTGAGATATTAAGTACTTTGAGAGCTCAATTAGAATAATATATTCAGAACAATTTTGTAAATTCATGCAAGGAAAATGCGCTGATTTGATTGAGTTAACCTAAAAATGTAGGTATGTACTACTCACTTAGATCTATAACTCCATGTTTTATCATTTCCTAAGGCTGCGACACTTGCGACAAAATGATCGTCAGTTGAACAGGAATTACTACCCAAAGCTGGTCTTTCCAGAGATCTACTGTCTGTTTGGAGGTTACAAGGAGTTCTTCACACATCATCCAGTGAGTTGTTTGTCACTTGTCGTGAGCCGTAGGTATTCTGCTTTATAAAGTTGTGGGTCCTTGTACTTCACTATCCTACTGTTATTTCTTCTGTCTACCTTTTTGGTTTTCCACAAGACTTACTAATATTTACTGTGTCAAGGTGATTCATTCTTTGTAACTCATTCTCTTGATTTTTAATAAGAAACTGAGCAATGACCATCGGTAAATAATGAGCATAGTGAAGTTGAAAGGCAGATTTTCAACTGATGATTGCCGGGCACCACTGACAGACCCTACTTTTGTACTTTGCCTCTGTTTTTTTTGTCTACCGTTCTTGCATTTTCCTTTCACTATATCGCCATTATTGTGTCGTTGTGCTTCTCTTTACTCAAACAAAAAATTGTTAAAACGAATTTTCATGGGAAATTGCAAAAATTGAGTTAATCGACACTTTTCCCACCAAAAGGCAAATCAGTTCAGAGCTGAATCTCATGTCCATTCTGTTGGTTTTTGCGTCATGTTGCAGTGGGTGGTCGGAAGGTGCCACTGGTGGATCCTACTTCGTTTCTTTACTTCTGTTGTTTATGTTTTTCTGTCTTTCTCCTGACTGACGCTATATGACATTTACTGTGCCGATGTGCTCCTCTTTATTCAAAACTCAAACTCAAATGTATCTTATCGTTATCTTTGAGATGCTGTCTTAACTCTGCCCCCAAGAGAAGCCGATTGGTGACGGTAAGAAGCTGTCCCCTTCCCCTACGGGATGCCAATTGGCAACGGTGTGATATAGCAACAGAAATATTGTAGTAATGATCTCCTTTTTGACGTGTCATGCACACTTGTAATTTCCTTTCTGAATAGTTTGTGTGGCCTTTGAGGTTGAAAATCAGTTTATTTACAATAATTGGAGTAAATTCTTTCGAAAAATATCGAGTAGACCTGGCATGAGTGCTGCTTTACACTTACTCCATGATGAGAATTTGGATGATGAATGTGCTAGATCTAATGTTTTCAGTTCTGATTCTGATTCCTTTTTTTGGTGAACATGCTATCATAATATAATGTTCTATTTTCTCTCAATGGGCTGAAAATTTCATATTGGTTCGTTTATTTTTTTACAGAGATACAGGTGTAGTACTTAATATACTGTATCTGCATCCTGGTCTGTGGGGACAAGTGTTGTTCGCTCTGCGCGCTGTGTGGGCGGAGAGTGTTAAGTGTCTGTCATATTTTGGTATGAAGATGTGAGGTCCTAAAGTTGCCCCCATGGGTAACCTTTTTATCGAGTATCTCCACCTGTCTGTGCGGATGTTGTGTCGTTCTGAGCTTGGGTTGGCACTGCCAGGCAAGGTTGAAGCAGCCCAACACCAAAATGATCTAGCGGGTGGTTGGTGGGGGCTCCAGTGTGGTTTGCTCCTTTTTTCTTATCAAACATCTGTCGTCCTGATCTCTCCTCCTTTTTTGCACAGTCGAACCTGCCTTAATGGAAACCTGTGTAAAACGGAATCTCCCCGCTCCCCCTTTGATATATTCCTCTTTAATTACCTGTATAAAACGGAAACCTGTCCAACGTGGAAACAGAAAGAAAAATCCGCTCCCTTTCGAGGGTTTCACCTGTCTAAGACGGAAAATGCTTTGCCCGCTCAGCCTTGATTTGAAACAAAACTCTCAAGTATGGTTCCGCCGGCTCTAAACTTAAAGCCATGGCCATGCCGCTGGGCGAGGAAGGGGAGTAGGGGTGCAATTTGGGGGTAGATGTTATCCCATCATGTGAGCACTGAGCGCTGCAGATGGTCAGGGTAGTGTAGGTGTGAAATCTCACGACTGCCCGTGAGAGTGCTCGAGTAGCCAGCCACAACGGAAAATTTCCGGGTAGCCATATAAGCTAGAGGCGTGAAATTAGATTGACCAATGCCTACCGCCCTGATCGTACGGCCAGCTGAGAAAAGAGTTCCTCGAATAGTTGTTACATGATGGCAGTGAGGGGTGGCATTGGTGGGTGGGGCTAAGGGTGGAAGCAAAGGAGATGCTCAAACGTTTCTGTTTTTAATAGGTCAAACAGTGGTCCTATAAAAAGGCAAGCACTGGTGGTAATTGGATAAGTAAGACTGACGCATGCCATTATCAGACAGGATAGCAATTGAGAAGTGTGAAGTTTTGACCACTGCTTGCCGATCGGACAAGTGATCCTTGATCCCACCGGCTGGGCCTTTGAACCCCCCCCACCTCCTTCTCCCCCTAAATTCCCCTAAGACGGAAAATGTCTAAGACGCAATTTTTTTCTGGCTCCCTTGCGATTCCGTCTTACACAGGTTCGACTGTATTTGTTACTCTCTTGTAACACCTCCAATTTTTTGCACTTATATGGCCTTATTGTGTTGCTTGTGCCATAAAGCTCTTACTAAAACTAAAACAAAAACAAAATGATGTACATTGTGTTGATGTGTAATTGAGACATTTGTGTCACAACATGGTGGAATCAGGGGCTCGTCAATTTTGGACATGTGGAATTATTGGTACCCACTCACCCCCCCCCCCCCGGAGGGTGCTACTGACTTGACTGAAGTGTCTTTAGGCCATTCCCAAAGGGGGGACATTAACTTGTTCTTATGCGCAGAAGAATTGTAAATGAGCTGATTCAACACAACAATGTCATGCTCATAACTGTGCCTGAACTGCAACAGGGAACTGCTGCTTTTTCTTTCCTAATCCTTACTATCGTCATTTTTTCCTCCTCTTCTTTTGTATGTTTGTCACACTCTTGTGAACCGCTATATCCGGGGTGCCTTGATAGTCGAAGCAGACTTTGTGCTGTTGAAGCTAGAGAGGTGAGCAGAGTAAGCCTGATTCCCTGTAGACTTCTCTGTTGACATCCACCCCTTGGCACTCATATTATGACTTTGTGCAGTTACGAGCGCTGTAAAACCTTTCCTAAAACAAGGAGCTATTGGTACCATTTTTAAGTTTGTTCACTTGTCTTGCTTTTTATGAAAAAAATGCCTAACTGTCTTGAAAAAAGTTGAGATATCTCGGATTGAAGGTGGTGGTGGCTGTCTGGTGTCAGAGGTCATATTAGCGAGAAAATGGCTACCATAGTTTGATGACTTTCAAAGCTTGAGTGTCGTTGAAAACTGCAAATTCATATTTTTGTGCCTTTGATCAGCATGTTTCAGTTAAATCCACACAGAAATGTGTTTTTAAATAGACATAGAAGGTTTTGAGCCTCGCCTAGAGGTTAAGGTGTTCGCCTCTCATTCAAATGTCCCGGGTTCGAATTCGTGTAGCAACGGAAAAATTTTCTTCTCTAAAATTGTCTCCTTTCACCTCCGTTCTTGCTCTCTAGCAATGTTCTGTCGTCTGCTTTCGTCTTCACTTTCTGCCACCGCCCACTCACCTCCTTTGTCCCCTCCTCTGGGTTCCTGCTTTCTATCTGCAGCCTTTCTATTTCTTCTCCTTAGCTCTTTCTTACTGCTGTCTTTCAGCCACACCCCTGATCTTCTGGTAGGAAAGATCTACACCTAGCCTTCTCAGACAAGGGGGAAAAATCTCGGAGATCCCATGTATAAGTTGTGCACGTTAAAGATCCCTTGGTGGTCTAAAATCGATAAGAGTAGGTTTCAGCCGCCACTGGGCAAAATTCAAAATTTCCTACCGTCTGAAAACGTTTAATGTGTCCCGCGCGCTCATATGACGTTATGCAGTTGTGAGCGGCGTAAAACACTTACCCAAAAAATTTTTTAAATCTTGAACTTTATTATACTGTTGCTCTCCTCAGGAGCTGTGTGAACCTTCGGGATACATTCAGATGGATGATGAGAACTACGTGGCTGCATACCTACATTTCAAAGCCAGGGCCAAGTCTTGGACAGCAGATGGAGGCAAATAACACTCTTGTCTTTGGTCCTATTCTGTCCTTTATTTGGATAGCTTGGTAGGAAGTAGGCCAGTCAAATTCTTCCGCGAGTTTTTTTTTTTTTTAGATATTAAGAATAAAGCAATGGATTTTACAATGATGATTTTAATATACAATGGCGAGGACGCTGATGGTACTTTGCTGAAGACTGCGAGGGTTTAATTTTCAAGGGTGGCTGGTTTGACTTTTTAAATGTCGAAGTTTTTGCTATTGTGATATATCAATCAATGTTTTATATTTATAGAATCTTGAAATGTATTACAAGCACTATAGAAATACCTCCGTGATGCAAGTTTGAATTATCAGCTTGGTGGGTAACATTTTGCTTCACTCTTTGTTGGGCTTTCACAAAAGTTCACGTTTTCATTGGGCAATTCACATCCAATTTTTTTAGGTACTTTATATTCATATATCCTCAATCTAAATGTAAAGACTTTATTTGTATGGAAACGTGTTCTTGGCTATGGAGTTTTGAATAAATATATACGCATACTGCTTGCATCTACTTTAAACTAACAGGCTCATGAATGGCGTGGAGGTTGCTTGCTATGTCGTTGCTGATTTAGATTTCCTTAAACGTTTAGGCATGAGTTTATCTTAACATACACATGTACTGCTGTGACTAGTTTTGTATAGTATACTGATATTTTGCAGCATTGAGCTATTTAGTGTGTATTTTATGCGCAGAAAATGAATATATTGATCATCATGATTTTTCAAACTGATATACGTATACAGAGCTCTATAATTATTCCATAGTAAAGCACTTATATTTACAAATTGAACTGATGTTTTAATGTGTTCTCACAGTAATGAACTTTGGCAATTTATGCATTTTTTACATGTAACATAATTACAGTGAGTGATATGGAATGGATATGCCTTCTGTGTTTTCTAATCTGGAAAAAAGTAATTGTTTTTTTGGGGAGGGGTTTTGCATCACACTACCACAAGGTCTGGACTCTTCAAAGGTTTGCCTGCAGTTCCACTGACCATTATTTAATATTCCATCGACGTTAGTGAGTGACACTTTTCTTTTTTGATTTTTCTAATCCATTCTTGAGGAAAAATACTTCTGTCTGTTCATCCTGTCCCAGTTATAGTGTAAATCGTTTATGAATAGGACATACAGACATACACCCAAGCTCATTTAAATGTTTTTATTGTTTTAAAGTCAGGTAATGGAGGAGGTTTAAAAAAAAATTATTTTAGTAAATCTATATGAAATTGTCTTTTTTCAAATGAAAAAAGAATTTAGTTGTGATGATTTCTTGTACACAGTTATGAAACCATCAAAAAGAACTTTTCTCAGAAATTTTTATATTATTGTGTTGCCTATTGTACATTACTGTTTGTGAATTTTTATTCTTGTGCAATGTGTTAAATATCTTTTGCTTTTAGCTGTGGCTCATTAATTCTCCTACTGACGTTTTGATGCTTTCCCAGTAACCTCTGTGGTACTCGTTGTCTTCTGGTATGTCCTTGACCCGTGGGAAATAAACTAGTGAAAAGAAGTAGAAGATACACATCTCATGGTTCATTTTTGTTTGTTGTCTGAAGTGTGAAAGACATTGTGTTAATTTACAGTGGACCTCACACTTAACGATATAACATATTTTCAAGGCAATAATGAATTAGTTCCTTTTTTCGTTAATTCTTTTTTTCCCCAACACAGTGAAGTGTGCTTAAACAGAATCTGTAGAACCTCTAGATTTCCTTCTGGTTATCCAGGATTTCAGTTTAACCCTATTCGTACGCTGTGTTTTACTGTCGTATCCATTCGGCGTGGGGGAACTCTGTCAGTCTTCTAAGACGCCAATTTAAACAAGTGAGGCCTCCGTTCACAAACAGTGCACACTGGTTCCCTAATGACTTGATGATTGATTCTTTTGAGTCCGTTCATCGAACAGGTACACAGCTAGTCGGAAATGTTTACAAAAGACTGTAATGATTGTTAATTTTCGTTTCGACTTCCTTAAGACTTGGTAGATAATTTTTGAAGACAGCTGCTTCGACTGTGCCTGTCAGGTCCAACTTGAGCTTAGTTTTATCCCAGCAAAAGGATGAAGATTCTTGATGGAATAACTTGCCTTCACAGAAAATTAAACTCACACCTTTTTTTTAGTCTTTTAGTCTCTGCTCACAGATTGAAGGTCTCTCTGATATGGCTTCTACTTTTTGTTTTGGCATTGAATTAACCTGGATTGCTCTGTGTCCCTGTACTTAAATAGGTTGATTGTGAACACTTTGATGTGGTCTGCTCCTCTTTCTTTTTAAAACGAATATTATCATTCTACCCTAAATTGGCTGTTACCTTGCAAAGTTGACGTAGACTTCGTTTGAACAAAAATAACACAATCTTCTTGTATGACAGTTTTTCAAAGTTCCAATTTATCAAAACAATCCAGCTTTACTGAAATGATTCCAGTTTAAACAAAGATTGAAAAAAAGACTTATTTCAAAATGTATACATACACTACACTATATGTGTATATATGTGTGCATGGGTGTGACATGGGGGGATCATCAAGTTTTGGGTACAATAGAGTTATTGGTAACATCTGAAAATGTATTTATTATTTGTTTTGATTTTGATGAAAAAATACTCATCTATCTCAAATAGAATTAGATTAGAGATATCTGCATTTGAAGGAGGCTGTGGTTGCCTGGCCGGTGTCTCTGTTAGTGTTAAAGGTAAGGCTAGCGAGAAAATGGCAGCCAAAGTTTGGTGATTTCCGAAGCTGTGGTGTCCATAGAAACTGTACTGTAAACCTACATTTTTGTATGCTGTTGGTCAACGTTTTTCAGTAAAATCCACACAGAAATGTGTTTTCGATTCTAAGGCGTGACAGGTGTCGAGCCAAAACAAAAGAAACTAATAAAAAATGTCCAGTGACCAGAAAAATGCTGATTTTTTCAAATTCAGTTTTTTTATGAGCGCCTGATCTTGCCACGATGCTTTGTTTTCATTTTATAATTCGGGGGGGGGGGGGGGCTGAGTAACGTCTTGCTTATTGAGCACACCTGGTGGTCTTAAATTGAAGTACCCAGTACAATGCAGTTTTATCTTTCAGACCAACTCTCTCAGGTTCCCTGTCAAAATTTACACCCTGCTAGTAATAATAGTTCTACATGAAAAAAACCAAAGAAATTACGTTTTTTTTTTTTTTTGTAAACAAAGTGTATTCATTCTTTTTATTTTTCAAAAAGTTATACTATTTTTTACATGAAAGAGACAGGGACAATGCTTAAAGTGCACCAGTGAATGTAGGAATGTTTCATGAAGTATGTTTTTTTACACCATCAAAAATTATAAACAAGAATAGTCCACATTCAACACAAACCAAAGAAACTTACAGGCTTTTTGTTAGTTAGATCAAAGGAGAACAGCTTTTTGGTTTCAGAAAAATATTTAAAGATACAACAAGATGTAATACCGCTCACAATTTTGTTTTTTCAACTTGACCAGAACTTGAAAGTCACAATCTTCTCATGAGCATAAGGTTGCTTCAGTGACAATAGACACCATTAGAATAATTAGATTGAATCTATTATTACCTTTCCGTAGCACCCGCTATGAATATATTTTGGAGATAGTTGTACTATTTTTTTTTCCTTTCATGAAGGCATAAAACATTGGAGGAAAACAAAATTACGATGCACAGAAAAAAAATTGACACATTTCATTCACCTGTGACACATACACGTAACATTATCTCACAAGGGTTGGGAGATTTTTTAGTCAAAAGTGAAGCTTATTATTTAGGTCAGTGTGAAATAGATATTGGTATCATAAAATTGGTAATAATAACAACAATAAAAATGATAATAACTTCAAATAGTACATTTACCTACCATAGCATTCTTGACACAAAGTTGTAAAAATCTTGATAAATATACATAATAAATAAGTGAATTGATGAAGAAGAATTTATACATTGACTTGATTGACACAGATTGTCCTTACATACATTACATTCATGATCTAATGCATGATAGAGACATTTTTCAAAATTCAAGCAAAGATGAAACAATATGCCTTCTGGAACGATTAAACAGGGTCCATTTAGTATACTAATTGAGAAACATTTTCTACAGCAATCAGCTCATCCAAACTGAAAGCTTTGATTATGATAAGCTAATGATGATAAAAATCACAAATTGTGCACATTTTTCACCACACAGGTTCGGAAAGTATGTCCTGTGAGATAAACTTTGCTATCATGATCATAACGCAATTGCCTATGTAATTTTTTACTACGTTTCTAATTTCTATTTATTTATTACTCTGGTAAAAATGACTCATTTCTTGCTTCGTATTCTCAATGTAGCAGGTTTTATTTCAAATAATATTTTATTACGAGACATTTAACGATTTCACTCAAGTTGTACGGTTTTTATTTTAAAAAATTTTCTCAAAACAAAACAAAAACCAAAAACAACCAACCAAAAATGACAAAGGCTGTTGTATTATGACTATAACCATGCCATTTTGTATCATGATAGTCATTGCTGTACCTTACTTTTTCTGGTTTTGGCCTGCTCAGAGTAGAGGTATACAACAAGCTGCATCAAATGGAGGTTTTTCAGGGATGCCACTTTCCGCTTGTTCCCGGCATTTCCGGTATTTTGATCCTGGTCCGCTATTCCGTTATTGAGATCGAGGTAGAATCTTTGGATTTCAGATTTATAATTATATTCATATGTTAACGAGACCATGGGGCATGGATTATCAGCTATTTTCAAAAAAGTTGAGTGGCATCCCTGGTTTTTGCAAACCACCGAAAGTACAGACTCCCAAAGTAGACGTGTTTTTCAGGTTTTCAAAAATAAATAACCTTTGAGCTAAAGTAAGTTTAGGGCATTAAAAAAAACAACCAACAGTGCAGTACTTTCAATGCCGGTAAGTGAAAAATCTTAAGCGTATCCATTACTTTCACTTCCATTACAATCACCATGTCAAAAGTCATTTTCAGAGTAGTCCGCATAAAGGAGAGTCATATAAATTTCACTACAAAATACCTCACTCCTGACAACACACATACTGTATTTATATGGTGCTTGTCAACTCATAATTTTCAATTAGTCAAACAATATTATACACTTTGTATTGAGCGATCCGCTAGCAATAGCATCACAATCTAAGAACAAGCCTACAATTAAAAAAGAAAGCTTATTTTTAAAGTAACCCAGACCACCTGCAACATGGATGGCTGTCTTTCTAAACAAAATATCATAAAGAAGAACTTAAAAACGAAAGTTCTTCCCCCACCCTAGATTTTGAAAAACTTACTTTCTTCGCCTCACCCCAGAATTTTTAGGTGAATACATATTTTATATCTTGAGATAGATTTACTGAGATAAGTTGGACTTTGCAGTTTCCTATTCATTGTAGTTGTAGACCTATCTAAAGAGCCACAATAAGTTATATGTGTACATGTTTTACTTAATAACAATACTAATAATAGATACACTGTAGGCTACTATTTGATTTTTTGACACGTTGCAGAAATCTTGCCATCGTGGGTTATAGTTATATCGAACACATAACATGTGAATGAACTTTTAGAATCGAATCCATAACACAGCCAAACAACAACCTGCCATCATGAAATTAAATGTGTAAGCTGAACATCATGACAATGTACACATAGGAGTATGCAAGCTGCAAACATCATGCTATGACTCCCTTGCAGTACAGTTAAAGATGACTAGATATGAGTAAAATCTCATGATTTGAAAAATAGAAATACTGAAATCTTTCAGATAATTAAAACATGTAGACTATGTTTGCGAATACTGCTACAAATGAGTGTCTTAAAATATTATATAAGTAGTCTAACTACTGTGTACACCGTGCAAATCTCACTTGTGTTCGTCTTTGAATCTGTGAATATTGTTTCTTCACGCTTTCGGGGCCAAACAACTTTTGTCTCCCATTTAACTACTATAGGCGTAACTGATGTGAACAGTAATAGAAACTTTTAAATATGAAATGAGTGATGTTCATAAGGTGGTACAAACGTATGTATATAACACAAACACACGAACACAGACTTACGCACTCACATATACACATACACACACAGGCGTACATGCACAAAAATACGTGTGCTCGTACGCACGTACACACGCACGCACACACACACACACACACACACACACACACACACACACACACACACACAAATATAAGTATACACGTACAATTGAAATAAATACATCTGAATATAGCAACACAAATTCAGGAAAAACAACATGAATACCCATGCCATTTTATCAACATCTTCATTTGGTTCCTGTAAATGATCCCTCCAATACATAGGTATACAATCACTTTGACATCCAGTGAGTAGACGTTGAATAGTGAAAAACTCTCTTACTCATCATAAGAGTACGAAAGGTAATGTGTACTTTTGTCAGTAAACGTAATGTAAGTTCAAGGAAACAAACTACAAGCAAAAGCATCATTGTTATGACAACGTGCCAAAACCTTTACTTTAAGTAGGGGATGCAATCGGGATCA